TGCCGTCGTGATCGCTCACCTGATTTGTACTGCATACCAGGCGCGAATGTCTGAAGCCTTTCATTGTTGATAACGTACACGTGCCAGTACAAGGAGGTGTGGTCTATTCCTCCAGTTGCGCTTGCACGCACGACTATGCGCATTCCTCTGCACTCGCCATTATCATCTGTAGGTGCGGTTGTTCCGTATAGCGAAGCTGTTCCTTACGATGATCTGCTCAGTTTCTAGCCTGTTCAGAGCAAGAAACACCATGAGCAGGCAAACATAGATTGGACCGTGCATATGGTCCGCGATCAAAGCCAAATCAACTCATCCAACACCGAAGCCAGCAGTGCGACACAGGCATTTGCTAAGGGATCCCCGTGCGTCGTCTTGGGAGGAGAGCCATGGATGCGATTGCCCCCGCAGGAACTCATGGGCGCCGTGTATATAGCACGACCTCGTTAAAGCGCCGGTGCAGCAGATTGGATGCTTATTGCTTCCCACCGGAACCTGTGGTCCAACATGAGGCTTGTCCATTTATACGTCCAATGTTATTTGCGTGGGAAATGAAGATTCCGAGCATGTCGTCCATCCGCAATGGAAACCACAGTCTCGATTCTGACGATACACTTGCCGCTCTAGGCCTCGTTGCATGGAACCGCCTTCTGGCTCGTGTATTATATACTACCGATGGCTACCGTCTCAGGAACTGTAGATCCATCCGCTTTTTGTCCTCGAACGTGCGTATTCACTTAAGTATGTATGCTGGGTGTTGTTTTACGCACCTTCATGCCTAGTGCCTGGGAGCTGATTTCATTCTCAGTCTACTCGCATCTCACACGTTTCTGATATCTTGGCAACTCCTACCCTCCAGGGATCAACAGCCCCTCACATCGAAATCCATACGATCCAAAGACGCGATATGAATGCAGCCCATGATAATATTGATTGGTAACCCTCGCGTCTCTTGGCGCCCGAGCCAGTATTCCTATTCCCTACATGTTTCACAATGCAATTGATTTTGGTATCGCCTCGCATCTCTCAGAGTTGTGCTCAAACCCGCTATGCCAAAAAAGAAAGAGAGAGAAAGAAAGAAAATCCGCCTTCGACTCGGTCTGTTCGGCCTGCGGGGGAAATTCACGCCTCCTGAGGCTTGTATTGGATCAAGTTCGGAATCGGGGAGTAGATGTAGTCGCGATACAGCTCCGTCATCTTCATCTTAATAAAGCACTTGGCGGGGACGAACGCCGCTTCCTCGCTAAGCCAGGCCTTGCGCAGCGCGTGATCCTGAGGGATCGCTGCGTCCAAGTACTTGCGGACGATGGCCCATCCACGGCCGTCTTCGTGCAATCCCAGAACACGGATGAGCCGGTGAATATGAACATGGATAAGCGTGTGGTGCAAGAGCTTGAAGCAGTCGTTCAAGTCTTCAGTCCCGACGGCGTCGTCAGGCAGGACAGCAAGTCTCTGGCCGATCGACCGCTCGAGCGTAGGTTGATGAACCTTGATCCCACCAAAATCGCGGATGGCGAACCCAACAAGCTCTCCAGTGGTCATATCAAACCGGGTCATCGTATTCTGCCCATGGGCCTCGAAAGCCACTCCGTCGATCAGGAGCGGGGGGAGGAACGCAGCAACAGCGATCTTGACATACCGATCCAGGAATGCGACACGCTTTTCGTCCGTGTCCAGACCGAACACGTGTTCGGCCTGGGTGATGTCCGTGTCTGGCCTTTGGATTTTCTCCGTCAGCGCGGTGCAGACAATCACGCGCTCGTTCTTCTTTTCTGAGTAGAGCTCGTAGCTCTCGCGCACGACGGTAGAGCAGTGCTTCGCAATGCTAAAGTCTGGGTTGTTTGAGACGGCACTTGCAACCTCGCCTTCGACGACAAGCGCTGTGCGGTCGTAATGCAACTTAGGGAGGATGTTGTGCGTGAACTCGTTGCCGACGAAGCACGTCCAGGGGGTGACGGTGCGCAGGGCGGATGAGATCTTCATACTGACGCAAAGCTTGAGGGAGTGTTTCCTCAGCACCTCGGGGATGAGCACCGAGCGAGTAGAGGTAAGCGACTCGGCCTTGACCGAGAACTCCTCTCCGAGCACCTCGTTCTCCGGGAACTTCTCTTTGATATTTGGGAGCTGCAGCTCGTGAACTGGCATGAGAACGAAGTTTGACGTGCGGGTGAGCGTCTGGCCCGCGTTCTTCTCCGCAGCCTGGACCATGGGCTCGAAGATGTTCTCGAATTCGCCGCGCAACTTGAGATTCCGTCTTGGGACGCGCATGATCCGGATCGTTGGGTTAAGGAAGTCGTACGAGCCAGGGGTAATGACAGGCATGGGAGGAAGCGATTTCCTCGCCTTGTTCATCTGCAGTCGTGGAATTAGCATACATTCACATGTGGGAGAGGGGAACATACCGGGTGAGTGGGATGACCCTCGAGAATCGTCTGCTCCCACTTGATACTCGGCGACTGCAGGGTAGGTATCACCGCCGGATGGTCATAAGAATAAGCCTGCCATTCGACAGAGCTCCCAAACTCTTCCGCAAGCTCCTCGGCAATGTCGGCCTCGACATGGGCCATGAGGGCGAACTTTTCCCACAGCTGGACAGCGGTGAGATGATCGAGGACCTCGTTGTCAACTGAGGTTCGGATGCTGGCTTGGAGGCAGTCGAGCACTTTGTGACCGAGCTGTGAGGGAATTAGTTGACTATGTGTAAGTGGGGTTGGGATGACGCACCTTTGCCGCGTCGCCCGTGTCTGCAATTTGGGGCTGGAAGGTGTACACGTAGGGGAACATCTCGAGCGGGTCGATGAGGAGGATCCTCCTCACTGGGAGTTCCTGACTCTTGGGGCTGAGGACGGGGAGGGAGCGGAGGGGGACGATGGCGTAGACATCCTTGTGCCCCAAGGCAAGGGCGTTGCCGTCTGCATGCACCTTGCTATTGGGCCCGAGGAGGACACAGAGGCCGACGAATCCATCCTTCTCCGGGTGTTCTGAAGGAACGAAGAGCGCTTGGAGGAGGGATTCGAGGACGATGCAGGTGATGATGCGTGATGCGACTGCATGGTTTGCCCACTGGAGGTTGGTGAGGGTGAAGGAGGAGAGTGGCTGCATGGCTGAGAGGAGGGGAAAGGGGGGAAGCAAGTTGAAGTGAGGGAGGGTAAGCAGATAGACCGTGGGCCTTTTATACACTTTTTTCCCGCTGAGACTTGGCGGGCAATTCAAGTGGGTCTATGGGAAACTCTGTGCGGCAATGTCGGTCCATTCCTCTTGCTCATTTTCTGTCCATATTTTGCAATCTCCAATGACCTTGTCTGAATTAGGACATTGTACATCTTCTCCCAATCGTAACTAAAGACTTACCAATGTGGGTAAGGTGTTGATGTCCGAGGAAGAGAGGTGACAATGAGAAGCGACGGTGAACGATGAAGGGGGGCAATAACCCACGACTGATGAATTCCGCGATGGGATCGGTGCGCGCCTCCCCTCTTTCCGTCGCGTCAACTGACTTCCGACGCTCTCTCATCCTTGTTCCCTCCCTTGGGACCACTTGGCTCAGGGCAATGCATCATACGAATATTCACACACGTGCGAAAATAAGTACAATCACCGCCTGTGGTGCCGCCAGCCACATCCGGCTTATCTCATAGAAAGGACTTGGCCAGATTCATGCACCCATTCGCTCAATGGGGGTTGTTCCGAGCATTCCGCGCATTGCTCAGCCGGGCTAAGTTCCCTTACCTGGCTGGGAGTCAGAACTAGAGGAGCTAGGCGTTTGAGCATTGGAGACGCAGCTTGTCGGCTAAAGCAACCTTTTGATAAATACACGTCTTGAGTGCACTCAGCTTGTCCGAGTTCTACCGACGCTTGTCTCTATCTCCAACTTCCCGCAGTCATAGTCGCCAATGAGCTCCATACTATTAACACCGCCGAAATGAACATCAAGCAGTCCCCCCTAGCAACTGCAACACAGAGCCAATCCCAAGCACGTTAATCGTACCCAGCGCTCGGGGCACGCCAGAAGCAGATGTCCCTCTGATATGATCTTATCTCTCTCGTGCGCGTGCTCCGGCCCAACCCGGCGGCACGCTCTGCCCTAATGGGCAGGGACGCGACACGTCAACGTCTCACTGCGCCTCTACTTCTCTGTTCATTCGTCGGGGTGTTGGAAATGATTTACAAGTCTCCTGACTGGACATGCTGAGCGGGAGGTGCGCGCCGATATCAGAAGTTCACTACGGACGGGGACTACCCCGCCGGCCTGACCTGCGGCTTGAGGCGATCAGGAGAGTTCTCCTCGAAATAGCGCACACAAACCGTATTTTCAGGCACACGACCCACGCCGCTCCCCTGGGTCGTCCTTGACCGATCTCATGCTGGCATACGCGAGCCTTTCCCTAATGGATGTGTCCAACGAACGAAGTAGGATCGCCGGTCTCGTATGAGCCTGCTCTCAGAAGTGAAAGTGAAGGGTAAGCCCGTCGACGAGCAATGGATGGAATATCAATATCGGTTACACTAGCAGATGACCCAGCTTTCTTTCGGGGATAAGACGTAACTAGGCTCTTTCAGCGTAAAAATAGACGGCGGCACGTGACTTCCGCTGGCAGAGAAATACTCGTGTCACTGGGGCATAAGTATCTGGTGGGTTTATGCCTGATGTGGCCGAAGGATCAAGGACGGGGCTTGGTGCGATAGGACTGACGCCTGGCGGGAGTCGCGTTTTGCGCTTCGCTCGTACGAGATTGTAGTAGACGACGCCTGTCGCTGTGTTCCAGCTTCAGAAAATCAGCTTGTCCCTACCATATCACAGCTTCTTTTCCTCTTCCGACGGCGTCTCGGGCGCAAGCCTCGCGTTGACACACTCTTCTGCCGCCTGCTTTGCCTGCGGTGCAGGAGCAACAGTGCCCAACTCCCGCTTCATCCTTTCCCTTGCGAGCCTAGCAGCCGCCCTAAGCAACATCTTCTCTTCCCTGCTATTCCTGCCCTTCTCCTCCTTCCCCCCCTTCTCTCCAGACTTCTCCATCCCTATTCGAGCGTTCACAGCTCGGCTCAGTACGACACGTTCTTCCTCGGTGAGCGCGGCCATTAGCTCTGTTTCCGTAATTTGCAGCGTTGCTGCTGTTCGAAGTAACTCGCCTAATGCGGAGACCTTCATCTCCTCTTGAGCGGGAAGCGACGCGGCAAAGTCAGCAGCAGAGATACGCGGTGGCGCCTGAGGCGGCTACAGTCAATCGTGAGCGCCAGGCACAAGAAAGCGGAAAAGAAGCGTACCTCGTTAATCGCTGAAATGCTATCGATGCCCAGCTCATACTTCCCGTCGATCCCGAACTTGCCGCCTAGGATGGAGATGCCCACTGTGCGTACTTTCTCCGTGTTCATCTCCATTTTCCCGGGAACGGGCTGGCCGTAGTTCGTTAATACGAAAGAGCGGAATGGGATCTGCGATATTGGATTAGAGCAGGGTATGAGTAGGTATGACAATACGCACTAGGACGTCCTCCCATGCGCCATGCTCGCGCAGGAACAGCCGATGCTGCCAGATATCGGACGTAACAGGTGTCTCCGTCTGGATATTCACAAAATACGCGTCTTGCGTTCTCCTATCCCCTCCCGCCTTCACCCGTAGATGGAGATACTTCAGTCTGCCGACATCGAAGAACATCTCTCCGAACAGACTTGTCCGCTTCTTACTCCTGAACGCCGCATATCCGGAATTCATCTTCCCCGCCAGACTGGGGTGGACCGAGGTGTTCATATTTCCATAGAAGCGCCCTCGGGATTCCGAGTCGAGCTCAAGGTGGCAAGTGCTATACCCGCCAATGTCAGCGTCGCAGCCTGTTGCGAACTGCTCGAGGTCTTCCTGCGAGTGGATGGTGAACATTGGGAGTGGCAGGCGTGGGGGTGCGGGGTCGGCGGCGATGGTCCTTGCTATTCCATCCTGTGCGACAGCGAGTGAGCGTCGTAGATACTCTCGAATGCGAGACATTGTATGCAGTGAAGTGTCGATGTATGCTGCTAAGTGAATGAAGCGCCGAGTCTCACTCGGAGTTGCGGAGTTACTTCGGTTCTGAACGGCTGAGTAACGTTGCTGACCCTTTCGAGACATGTGAAAAAAAGGAATTCATGTCATGATCGCTTTGTCTGTTGTTTATAGGCGCATCCTCGATCACCGTCTCTGTTCATTTCCCTCTCATAGCCTTGCTCATCTCCCCGAGTAATCACTCACGATCAACGTCCACACGGCCATGCTCACCATATCAAGCACACCGTCCCACACAGCATACAAGTACAACAGTACCCTGTCATCACCCAGCTCATCTCCGCCTCCTTCCCATCGACCACTCTCACCACTTAGACCTCGTCGTCCACCTCTCATAACAGCAACACGTATCAACACGCGCGTCACGCCAGTACAGAGCGACAGGAGCGCGACGTACCTTGCGAGCCCATCTAGCCAGGGCGCAGAAGACAGCCCTGTGGACGACGATGACGAGGACGAGACCGATGTGCCCAGCAACCAACCGTACAAACCGGAGCCGAGCAAACACGGAATCCCCATGCCTTTCGGGTTCTCTCAGAGCGCAAGCTTGCTCTTCCCTTCCCGTACAAAATTGCTCGACCCCTCACCCGCTTCACCCGGACCTTCCCCCGTCAGCGCTTATCCTCCACGTCCTCTATCCCCCAGCGCTTCGCGAAGACTTGCAAACCAGAACAGAACAACATCATCCAACACGTCGACTGTACTTCCAAAACACGTTCAAGTTGTGCTAGGGAGGTTGAAGCGGAAGCTAGATGTGCGCCGAGCGGGAGAGGCAGCACTCCTAGTTGGGCCATTCGGTGGGGTGTTATGGAGTCTAGCTATGAGAGGAGAGAAATGTATGGCTGCTGGTGAGTTATGTTTGTTTGGAGGCGCATATATGCTGAAAGACATACAGAGGGAGCGGCATTGATTTTGGTCGCTCTGCTCACCTTGGCAGTATCTGGCTATCGTGGGAAAGCGCCGCCGCCAACAAACTCCCCCGTTCTGATGAACAGCTTGCTGCCGAAGTTGAACGACATCCATACTCTACGCGAACGGAGAACTCCTCCCAATGGTCGAAGAGCATCGTTCCACGTGTCGGCTCAGCAGCAACTTAAGCCTGAGCTTGAGAAGGACGGGGATATCGGTCGATTATGGATGACAGAAGAACGCGATTACAGAGATTGCATCGATTCCGGGATCATCACTGCGCTTCTACTTGGACCTCTAGTATCCGCCAGTGCCCTCCTCGTCTCCCTACCTGCTGCGGAATTCGGCAGTCCACTCAGTTCATTATCCCCGAGATGGCTCGTGGAGCCGCCTCTTGCGTCATCAACCATCCCTCCCACTGTTGCCCTCGTCCGTTCAAGACGGAACATGTTCGAAATGGCTTCCTTGTGTTCGTTTCTCATCTCGATCCATTTTGAGTCGTCGCGGCGCGCAGACATTCGTGTAGCCAAGGAAAGAGAAGGAGGTGTTCGCTCTGGCCTACTACCGAAATCTGAGCTGCGCAGGTTTGGAAGTTACGTAGGCATGACGGTCATCATGGTTAGCATCGCTGTGGGCGTCAAGACAGCGGCGACGTCTACAGGTTCATCCTTATGGAGTGGTGTGTTCTCCTTGTCTTGATTACAAGGATGGAATCTGACGGTTTCGCAGAGCTGTCGATGTTTGACGTCCTCACCGTGTCTTTGTTTTACCAGTTCTGCTTGTATGTGATGATACGCCTCGCAAGGCGAGGGTTCACACTCGGGGAATTATGTTTTGTTGCGCAGTGCGCGACGGCGCTGGTCATGGAGACGACAAATTTGACCATATCCCGCGTGAGCTGCTTTCACCATGCCTGTGACCCCATGCTGATCAAAACGCAGATTTGGCCCATCTCAACACCTTTCATCAAGACTTTTCGACGTCCCACCCCGCTTCTTATCTATCAACTCGCTCTCATTCCCGGCTGTCTCCTCGCCGGCTTCCTCCTCTCTCCTCTCCTCGTTCTCTCACGGAACATCGCCCAAAAGCCACTTCATCGACTTCGTTTCCCAGAAGACAAGCTCATCCAGCGCCGAGGGCTCGCCGCAGCCGTATATGCCGGGTTTGCTCTGTTCATAGGAGGAGTTGTCGGCGTATGGACACAGTGGTGTCTAGGCTGGCGTAACCCCTGGGCATGGGTCGTTTTCTGGCTCTTAGAAGGCAGAAGACCTTGGAGCCGTCTTGTCCTGCTCGGCTACTGGGGTATCCTAGGCAGTCTGAGCGTCGCGGGGTGGAACAGGCAGCTCGCGCGTCAAAGACGATATCGGCATCTGAACGGACACGGCGCAGGGCATAATGCTCCTGCGCGAACAGGGAACGGCACGCTGACACAGGACGGGCATGTCAGTGAGAGTGCGATACAGAGTCCCGTCGGAACGGCGTCGTCGAGCGTTACGGAGATGCTGGATGCGGCAGATAAGCATGTCCCTACGCTGGGACTGAACGCTAGGAGAAAGTTCTTCCATGCCTTGGCGGTGCTTATGTTCCTCCCTGGCATCATCATTGACGTACGTCCCTGCCTCTGCCATGATCTGATCTGACGATTATCCTGTAGCCCGCGTTCACCCACCTGTCTTTCTCAGCTGCCTTCGCATTATTTACATTCGCCGAATACGTCCGCTACTTTGCCCTTTACCCATTCGGCGCTGCCGTCCACGTCTTCCTCTCCGAGTTCCTCGACCACCGCGATTCGGGCACAGCGATCCTCTCCCATTTCTACCTCCTGACCGGGTGCGCCGGGAGTATCTGGCTAGAAGATTCCAAGCCTATACTCGAGCTCACCGGCGTGCTCGTCCTCGGTGTCGGAGATGCCCTAGCGAGCATCATAGGCCGCAAGATCGGCAAGCACCGATGGAGCAGCGCGAGTGGGAAGAGCGTCGAAGGCTCCGCCGCGCTCGCAGGCTCTGTCTGGCTCTGCGCCTTGCTACTTCGACTGTCAGGCATCGTCGATCCCTTCTCGCTCTGGAAGTACGGGTGTGCGATCGGCCTTGGCTCGCTGCTCGAGGCGCTCTCGATGCAGAATGATAACCTTGTATTGCCGTTGTATGTTTGGTGTTTGTTAGCTTTGTTTGATGTATAATCTGGGAGCATTGGACTGAGATATCTAGATTGGTGTGATGTATTCTGTACTGGGTAGTAGAAGGAATTTAGGATTAGACTATATGTGACAGTTACAAAAACGCGGGGAGCTCTGTTACGAAGCCAGCGCGGTGTTCGGACCCGATTCCATTTGAGGGGAATGTGGGGGTAACCACACGAACTTAGGACGTTGTGCGACCCGGTCCCACTTGTTATAAGAAAGACCACCCAAACAAAAGTTGTGCGTCTGTGGATGGGGTGGGGACACCCACATCTGCTGCGCCCCTCGACCGCTAGACGACTATTGTTACTCTAGCGTTCCCACGCTGTTTGTTTGACCAGATTCGTCACATATCCATTTCTTCGTCGACTTCAGTGGTCAATCCCTCGTCGTCGTCGCCGCAGTTGATGACTTGTCGACATCTCGTTGACGGTGTAGGCCGTTTCTGCCACAGGACGGTGTCGGTGCCAACACCTAATGGACACGCGACTAAGGGCCCCGCTGCGTATATAACTCAGCCAGAGTCATCAGACAAGCCCCCTATCGCTCTCTCCCACATCCCATGTAATGCCCACAATGTCCGAAGGTCGACCTTCCCAGTTCTCCCAGCCATCAACGACGTCAACAAACCTGACCGTGGACTACAACTTCGAGGTCGTTGACGACTCAGAGCCCGAAACCATTTCCGTTATCCCACAGAAAGGCTCCTCGCTCCTTGGCAGCGTATCTCCACTCCCTCTCCTGCCACATCCGCCGCGCAGCCCGCTTCGGGAAGACGAGGACTGGATTGGGAATCAGGATGTGTATGGATCAGACGACGACTTTGGGGACGTCGCAGGTGGCGCCGACGACCCAGATTACGACCTGCTCCCCTTGGCCGATACGATACGCCATCCGGTCCGGACGAACGGTCCCAGCCGTGAAGTCTTTATCCTTGGTCCTCCCCCGATCCCTGTGGATGTGAACGATGGCCGTCGGCGACCGACACTCAGTCCACCTGCCACTGTACACCCTCCTCGCACGGTCCGGTCTGGGTTGCCTACACCGTCGTCCGACTCGGAGGGCAGCATCCACCTTGTGTTCCCCTCCGCTCCCGACTATCATCCACCTTCGCACGAGAACGAAGACGCAGCACCAGCGCTACCATCTCATTTAACTGATGCTGCACGTTCGGACATCTCTGAGCTGAGCAACGATGCCGATAACGAGCGCTCCACCGTCGCTTCTATCGCGTCCATCACTCCATCAATGTTCTCTGTGACAAGTACGCTATCCGATATAGGCAATCTCCCTCCCCCGAGTCCCGATGCCCTGCATGTCATTCTCGTTGGGCACAAGGCGGCTGATCCTCTGAAAGAGGAGATCCTCGACGCCGTCTTTGCCCTCTATCCTGGTCAAGTAACGGCTCGTGACTCATCCACTGAAGCTAGCGACGAAGCGTCATCTTCTACTAGCCACACCATCCAGTTTTATGATTATCATCCACCTGATATGGGAAGTGAGACCATGGTAGAGGAAGTGCGGGTGTATGATCTCACATTGCGCCATGCCGTTGTGAGCCATATGTGGTCTTGTCACATTAATATTTTCTGACGGATAAACAGACATCCTATTACAACATCACAGGAAAGATGGTCACACCTCCTGTGCCGGTGCTCACGGTATTCTTCATCGACCCCGCTCTGTGCAAGGGGCGCGTACCGGGCTTCTTCCCCTCTGCCATGATAGGGAAATCCATCGCCGTCGTTCTGCCGCGCAGCGATGCGTCTTCCCCGCAGAATCTCAGTCCCATGGGTTCAGAGCACTCCGATCTGCCCAAAGAAAGCGACTATATCAACATTAGCCGAGGGGTAGATCCTGCCGATCTGATGTCCGCACAGCATGTGTGGAGCAACTTGCAAGCCTCTTACTTGTTCGACGGCATCGAGATCCGGCATACAGTCGACTTTGATCGGCAAGTGATCAGTGTTGATGAGCTTTGGGCCGCTTCTGCTCGACATGAAGCTCGCTCCGCAGCGCTGAAGCTCATCAACCCTGAACTTGTCGCGTCTGTCGTTCGCACTAGCTCTGGTGAAGAGAGCTCCCCAGGAGCAGATGTTTCGTCGCCCTCTGAACTCTCAGCATCTACGAGCACGATCGGAGGATCGGTTCACACTGCTCGCGGTTCCGTCCACGCGGTGCAGCCTGCTACTGACTCACGTCTGCTGGTCAACCCGGAGCCTGTATCGCAAGCCGAGCTGTCGTCCGAATTCAACGAGAAGGAGGTGACTCCTTCTCACAGCATTTATGAAGATGCAAGATCATTGGTTGGCAGCTTGTATACTTCAAAATATGCTGCTTTCTTGCCTGATTTGCAAAAAACCTACCTTCGTCTACGACGGTTAGTTCATCAGTAAGTTTCTCACTTATGCTTCACGCGCTATACTCACCATACCCAGGAATCCGCGTACACTCGTTTCTGTCGCTATTGCTGTACTTGCTGTTTCTGTCCTTTATCTGCGCAGAGGGCCGGACGGCATGGTACAGCCCCCACAATTGTCCCTGGTACCCCTGACCCCTCCACCTACCTTCGTTCGCCCTCCCGAGACATCGGCCGATGCTGCTGTCTTTACCCAGAAAGTCCAGGGCATGGACATCCCCCGGGCTACCCCATTACTGACGATCGATACGAAGAAGAAGCCGCTTGGGTTATCCACTTCACCTCAACCCTTTTCCATTAGCGGAGTCGCCGACTTGAAGACGATTGACACTTCACTGCTCTCGCTTCCTCTGAATACTGATCTCGTGACTGTCGAGTCCATGCAATGTAACACTTGCTTCCAATTGGTTGGATCTTCACGCACAAAATCTGATACGATCTTCCTTGGCGGCACTACCGCCACGCCGAATGTACGAGTGGCTTCCGAAACGGGAGCGACTGCCGTTTTCTCTTCACACACAGATGCTGCGATCGAGACTGACGAGTCAACTGCGACCATCACGGTGCGTGAGGTGCAGGAAGCTGTCAACACGTACGTGCATGAGCATAACGGCCGTGCTAGGAAGAACGTGCGTGTCTTCAACGCCATGGGCAGTCGTGTAGCGAAGAAGGCACTTGGCTCGATCGTTTCAACCCTGAATGAGGATTCCTTGCATGACTCGACCGCCCCAGAGGAAAAACTCTCCTGGTATGACGAATTTATGGAACCTTTCCGGCAAGCGCTGGCGGCACGGAAGGCACGCACCGAAGCCATGCTCGCCGAGGAAGATTCTACTGCAAGTAAACGTCGTCCGAGCGGAGAGATCATCCAAGAATTCCTATTTCACGGAGCACACGCAATAATAGGATGAAGCAAAGCGCCTCTTCGTTTGGCATGGCGCTTGCTTCGACTTTCTTGATCTTTCTCGGACCTCTGAGTGTGGCGGCCGAGCCGCCCACGTGTGCTTCCTTTTTAGGATGTACCATATGTTTTATGCCCTTTCCATGCGTAATATGCGTGTAGAGCATTGTGAAATATAAATGAATGAATTGTATGTATCATGTAAAGGGTGTGGGAGGAGGTCAACATTGGATTCACCAATAAGAAAACCGCCGGTGTGAGAACCGGAAAGTAATTTCTGCAAAGAGAGCTCTCTCGGACTGGAGTGGCGAATTTTCCCGCAAAAGGGTTTGGTCGCCCTGCACTGGCCACCCGGTCGTCTCCCACTACCTTTTAATTCTTTCTTTCATCTGCTGAGCTGGGTCGTTTTGTACATTATGGACCCACAGGAGATGCAGCAGCAATTGCTTTCTGCGATTCGAGTCGCTCAGGACCCAGTGTCAGATCCGGCATTGAAGACCGCTGCGATTGAGTTTCTGACATACGCGCGCGACAAGGCCGATGACACCTGGCCAGCAGCGCTCGTGCTCTTCATGGCCAGCGACCTGGCTACAGGGGCTCGTGTGTATGATCCTCAGACGAGATACTTCGCACTGGAGGTGCTGGGGGCGTTCTTGGATATCGAGGGGTGCGTGTATTGCTGTTGCGTCTCGTCCCACTGTGACTCATTCTTGCCGTTGGACAGGCCAGAAGAATTGTCACCTGCGGTCTTCAGACCTTTGCAAGTAACCTTTACACCCTACATAGAAAGTGAATACATCAATGGGACGGCAGAATCCGGTGCTCCATGTACGTCTCGGCTTCATCATGCTTGTCCTATAGGCGCTGATCGCGTCCCTTAGATCTTCGCAACAAATTCTCCCACACCCTCGCTCTTCTCTTCACCCGCTCGTACCCTGACCTATGGCCAACCTTCATCACTGACCTCATCGGTGCCATGCGTACTATCCCCGGATCTGGGGGAAGTCAAGGCACTGCGCTCAACCTGAACCTCTGCACTCTCATGCTCCGAGTGCTCAACGAGGTTTCAGGCGAAATAGCAGATCAGACCGTTCGTGGAGCCCGGACATTCTCCATTGGTCGGCAGAATCGAGAAACACGATTAAAACATAATGTTCGAGAAAAGGACGCTTCGAATGTGATAACCGCGCTGGTGACGGTAGTGACAGAAGGGCTGGATCGATTAGACAGCCAAGGAGGGGAGAGTGCTGAGCGAGAACAAGTGCAAGAGCTGGTCACCCTTGCTGTCCAAACATTCGCAAGTTATGTCCGTGAGTAGCCTTGAATCTGTCATCGCAGCTACATGTATGCTGATTATCTCACAGACTGGCTTGACATTAACCTCACTGTGACGCCCGTAACGATCCCTATGCTATATCGCCTAATCAATCACCCTTTCTTGCCTTTCCGGGTGGCCGCCTCTGATGCCCTCTACCGCCTCATCAGCAAAGGCCTTCAGGATCCTCGGGACAAGCTGCAGCTCATCAAAGTGCTGTCCCTCCATCAATCTCTCAATAACCTCGAGCAACAAACCAGGAGACCAGACAGAACAGACGAGCAAGATGATGAGCTCCACTTCCGTGAATCCTTAGGGAAGTTGCTTGGTATCGTTGGCATGGAACTGTTGCGAATCCCGGAGGACGTATGTCTTTTCGTTGCGTTCTAGGTCTTCCGGGTATTAACCCCTCTGTAGAAAACGGTCACCGATGAATCTGTCAAGGGTGAAGCACAGGCGTTGGTAGCAACTCTACTGCCGATAGCGCTTCGTTTCCTGGCCGATCCATTCGACGATGTTTCCGAGTCCGTATTCCCCTTCCTCACCCAGCTGTTTGTATATGTGAGTTTTAAATCATACTATTCTGATTTCAGCACTCATGAGTCCGCAGTACCGACGCCAAAGGAAAAATCTCAAGGACGGCTTCCCATTAGACAGCCGAGAAGCTTTCTTCACAGAGTTTATGTCGGTCATCATCCAAAAATACCAATGGGACAAGGACACCGAATGGGGAATTGGCGAGGACGATGAAGAACCCGACGACGATGACATGGCCGCATTCGGCGAGCTCCGCAAGGGCTTGAAGTCATTCATGGACGGTATCGCTGGCCTTGATGTCGACCTCTATACCAAGGCGACTACAGAGGTGGTACGGTCAACCCTCGGCGCTTTTGTGAACGGCCAGCAGTTATCTTGGCAACGGGTAGAGCTCGCGTTGCAGCTGCTTTACCTGTATAGAGAGCTAAACAAAGCTGACAAAAGTACGTCCTAGTCTTTTTTGCGAAACGCTCGCATGACTGACATATTTCTTAGAGCTGGGCAAAGACAAGAGTGGCTTTTGTGTCATGCCGGCATCGCTGCCGAAGGGGGCCAAAAAGTCCATTGATTTCAACAGCCTGCCTCTCAATCCTCTCGGAGAGATGATGGTTATGCTCATGGACTCTCAAATCTGCAATTTTGCGCATCCCGCTGTCACCATCCAGTGGGCTGAGACTGTCTGTCGATATTGTGACTTCTTCAAGCTTCGCAAGGCTTACATTCGTAACGTTCTCGAAGTGTTCGTGGGACCTTTGTATGTATTGTCTCCAATCTCTATGGACTTTTCTCATGATATCTCTAGGGGTGCCCAGAACCCTAAAAATAATGTTCGTCATCGCATCTTCTATCTCCTGGACAAGTTCGTTCAGGAGACTAGTTCCGATATACCTTCCGATCTGATCAGCCCGCTACTCGCCAGCCTAATGCAAGTCATGAATATCCGTCCCGAGATCCCCGATGACGACTCCGACCTTGGAGAAGCTGAACTACTCTTTAATGCTACCGCTAATTCCTCGTCGTTTAACGCACTATTATACCTTTTCGAAGCAGCAGGAACAATGATCTTCAGAGCCCCCGCCGAACAGCAAATCTCGTTCCTACAGGAATTCACCACACCCCTCTTAGTGGAAATGCAACAGGCCCTGCAAACTCCAAGAAACGGACCCCGGGACGTTTTGCCAATTCTCACTGTTCATCATATCATGATGGCACTAGGCAATCTAGCCAAAGGATTTCCAGACATGCCCTCCGGTGGAGCCCCGCTCATGCAAACCGTTCTATGTCAAGTTTTCGGCCAGGTGGCGGAGGGAGTGCTCGTCGCTCTTCAGAGCTCCAGTCAATACCGAGTCATCCGCGATGCTGTGAGTGTCTTCGATTGTTTATCTATATCCGGAGTTCCTAACTCTCGATGCTCAGGCTCGTTTCGCATTTCTACGGATTCTGAGTGCGACTGGGCCAACTGTGCAACCTTTTTTGCCTGCTCTGCTCACAACAATCCTTTCCCAAATCGAGAATGGAGAGATTTCGGACTTCCTCAACTTCATGGGATTGGTTGCTCATAGCCTCAAGGTATGGTTAGACGTACGCTTGATGATCTGTTTGTTAACCTATCTGGTAGGAGGATGTGCGGGAGACTGTAGCGGATCTGGCCACCCCACTGCTGACGCATGTTAACACTGTGCTGAACCAGCCTGAGGAGGGAACCGATGATGTAGTGGTTCATAACGAAATCAAGAGGGCATATCTGCAATATGTCAATGCGCTTGTGGGGTCCCCCCTGTTCACCATTTTCGCCTCCCCAAGTGAGCTCTTGCTTTCTCTGCTTGCCGTCTATTATAACATTGCTGCAGACAACATGGGAGCATTTGAAACCTTCATGATCTTCCTCATGAGGCTCGCCGAGATTCCCTCCGAACCACAAGCTCAGAAACTAGCCTTCATCATTCTGTCAAAGGCTGTCGCTGCATGGGGTGTTAACCCTGCGTTACCCTCTACGAACGGTACATCAACGCCGAACGGTACCAACGGAATCGTCCGGGCGCCGCCCTCCACGCAACCAATTCCCGGTTTCGACCGTTTCATCTATGATCAATTGATACCTTTGGCTTTCCGTGTACCTCTGAACCCCGACCTGCGCTTCAAGGATGCGGAAACCACCTTGGTAAGCCTTTTCATTCTTGACCGGGCCCCCGAAAACTGAAGATGAGCAGGTTCTGGCTGAGGTGACTGCTCTCCTCAACACCATCGTGCAGGTGAGGGGTGACGAAGCCCTCACTTTCTTGACGACCTACATCCCTTCTCTCGGCATGCAACCAGAATTCGTCCAAGAGTTCCCCGGCAAGGTGGGCGGCGACAAGATGCAATTTAGGAAGTGGTTCGCCGATGCGATGCGGCAACGACGTCATGAAGAGCGCATCGGTGGCACTGTGACCCCTTCTGCACCGAACCCGTAAGAACTCGCTGTCTGGATCATGCATTTGTTTTGCTGCTCCCTTTTATGAGACCCTGCATTGTTCTTTCTTCCATGGCTGATGATCTCATTTGACCAAAAATTGTAACCGAAGCAAATCTCATGACATACCTTCATACTATCAATTTGTATTCAATTAGATGACCAAGACACAAATCAATTAAGATGTGGTTCCAATTTGCTCCATCATTTGGCATCCAATTCGCTCCATCATTTGGCATCTTCAGTGCTAATCCTAAGGTCGAAAATCGCGACCACACGTCATTAGAGAATAAAAATGGATTAGATTGTCATACCGTGGATATCAGTCTACAAAGATATGATCACATCTCATCCAACGCCTTCTCGGTCGCAAACAGTTGGAAACTCCTATTCCACGACCCGCTCGCCAAAAACTTGCCATCCTTCGTGAAGTCGCAGCTCATGACCTTCCCGGCATCCGTCGGTAAGCTCCTAAGCAACTGCCAATCATCCGCGGTCCAAATTTTGACAAACCCGTCATACCCCGCCGAAGCGAGATACAGTCCACTCGGGAGGGGCTCCGTCAGCCCCTCGGCGAGAGGCTCGAATCTCACAGGTGCTTTGAAGAACCTCACATCAGCAACGGTGCTTTTGTGTGCTGGGATAGTATGCAGCGCGCGGAGTGCCCGTACGTCCCAGATTCGGATCGTGTCGTCACCAGAGGCGGTTGCGAGCTGGTATCCGTTGGGCGAGAAATCGATGCCGTATATGCCCTGTACGTGGCCATCGAGTACCATTGCTGTGCGCCCCGTGCGCAGATCCCATACGCGGGCGATAGCGTCCAGCCCTCCTGAAGCGGCAAGGGAACCATCATCTTGGAACTCGAGGGTGTAGACTTCCTTGCTATGCCCTTCTTGTACGAGGATCTCTTTGGCAGTAGAGACGTCCCACAGACGCCACGTCCCGTCATAGCTGGCACTGCCGACGTAGTCGCCACAAGGGTGAAAGGCGACTCGGCAGACGCGGTCTTGGTGCCCTTTCAGAGTTGCGAGGGACTGCTCGTTCGCGAGAGACCAGAGATGGAGGTCGCCCTCCCCGCCTCCGGAAACGAGGTTCACCGCAGCGGCTTCCTGGCCAATCGTTGCTCTCGGGTGCCACGCTACGCCGCCAACCTTGTCGCTGTGTGCTATCTATTCGTCAGTACGGATTTAGACGCATATATGCAGCAAATGCACCTCGGAACGTCAGCTTTGAATCGCAGTTCGGGATACCCCAGACTTTGACAGAGCCTGACCAACTACCAGTAGCGAGCAGCTTGCTATCAGGCGAAAAGCGGACTTGGGAAATTGGTCGGTCATCGGCGACTTGCGTTCCAAGGATGTTGAACGTCTGCGTGCCGTTAGAACGCTCTCTGATCGCAGTAAGGAGACGCACCTTGACTTCTGCAAAAACTTTTTTCCGCTTGTCGACTATTCGACTTAGTGGGAGGGAGGACTCGGCGCGCTGGTAATTCACGCGGTCCATCGCCCTGCATAGAGCTTCAGTATTCTACCGCTCCCATGTCCCTGGATATTGACGAGGAGAGGAGAAGACTCACCGTGGTAGAGAGAACTGAGCCAATTTTCGCCGTGCGTCTAGTAGCTCCAGCGGGCCGGGAGTGTAGAACTCTTCCTCTTGTTCCTGTTCAAGTTGAGCACCTAGCCCCTATGAAACACGCCAAGATGCACGCACCTCTTCTGAGCTCTCTTCATCCTCGACTGGTATCCCCCGCTCAACACCCAATTGGGAAAGAATATACTTCAATCGATCTCGTCTATCCGCTGCCTACCCAGCATATATGAGCACGAACCATATTCAAACAACAGTTGACTCACTCTCTCTCCAAAAAGGGTGATCGGTTCGCCCAACTCCCGCAGCCTAGCACGCACTCGGCCGTCATCCGTAGGCACCGCCAGCGTACGCGCGCGCTTTTTCCTCTCGAGTTCATCGAGGATGGCCTTGTTCTCTGCTTTGGCGCGCTCGGAAGCGCCGAGGACGTACGACGGGTCGTTGACTACACACTTGGGTTAACGGGGCTCATGTCGATTAAGGTGAGACACACCCAGCTCGTCGAGATCCATTGTCTACACCGCTGTCAGAATGATACTACATCAAGTTGTTATGCACTTACGTCGGCCATGGTCGCGTCGCGTGAGTTGTCGTTGAGAACAAGATGATATTCAAGGGCGCATTTCATCAATCACTGCCACCGCGGTAAGACATCGCTCCTTTATCGGCGTTATTCCGCTTTTCGGTCTTTCTAAATCCGGTGCTGTTCTAAAGGATCGACATCGGACAACGATTGTGCTTCGGGTCATTGTGATTCTTATAGGAATTCTAGTCCGCCGGGACCACCAGCACGAAATCCGTTCCCATTGTTCCCTACAATCCCCGTTTTTATTCCGAGCGCGCCTAACTCCAATTGTCCGGTCAGGCAACGCCAGCAACGCGGTTTGTTGACTCAAACGTACTGAACAAGACCAGCACGTTTCACATCCTCGGCATATACTTACTCGCTCCCGATCATAGGCCTGTTGTCTTACTTAGGCCAGTCACGCCATCGCCGATCCTCCGGCGCTCTCCCGCGCTTGTTCCGATCATTCATTGGCCCAATTATGACTGGCCCTATCCGTATCGGCTCCCAACGCGGGAATACCAGTCACTCATCAGTGGCCTCACTCGTATGGGCCATGCGTGCGCCAGTCATGCGTGTGGGCTGCCAGGGTATATAAAGCTGCTCGCGAAGACCGGCTTTACTCTACGCAATTTGATACCCCCCAGCATGGATACCCCCCAAGCACCTTGTACTGTAACATCACTCCAATCATCTTATTGCTATTATTCTGCATTCGCCTTGTACAATTTGTAACCATAACGATACCGGCACTGTATCACCTCACGACCACCTCACGACACGCTGTATCCCTATTTCATCTTGGGTTCTTGGTTAAACGACGCATCATCGCACGGACTTGGTTTTCTCCTCTGTACAACATCTTCCCCATCGGCTTGCTCAGCAATCATAACCTTATAACGATCTCTCACCTTGGGTCTCTTGGATACATCTGGCGTCTGATTCCTCATCTAATCACATCTACGACAACTGTCTCTTGCATACTCTCTCAACATTGCATACCCAATATCGAATACCTCAACGTGTGCTGTTGGCAGTACAACCCCCGCATATCTATCCGCAACAAACATCTTATTTTGGAAAGCTACTTTGGGTACGTTCTCTCTCTCTCCGACGAGGTTGTTGTTGACGTGTCGTCTAGATATCTATCTCAAATGAATCTCCCCCTGCTAACCTCTCATCCTTGCCACAAGCAGCGCTCTTGGATAGTAACCAGAAGAACTTAAAAAAGGTAACCGCCCTAATATCATTCATCGAAGAACCGATTCGGATTAGCCGGCGTAACGTACGCTGCATGATCTTCGTCTCTGAGACGTATTACTCACCTTCAGATAGCACACAACCACGCCCCCCTTCGAGCTCGGCCTGCTAACAGGGATCAACCTGCGGGTTCCCCTTGCCCATATTCCGCAATATGATTTGTACTTGTAGAAGCACTGTTGTCAGCCTCAATTATATCAAGAATCAATGGCTGATGTTCTCTATTGATCGTAGTAATAACAGCCTGATGACGATCATGATGTACTGTACATTGTACTATATGTATTATCTGCTCTGCGTCCGTAGTTCCCATATGGTTGAATACGAGGAATTGCATAGACGCACGACTTGAGAGTGGCTCAGGTCTTGCTACCACGGGTATTCACTGAAACGTGGGGGGGCGAATCGGTGAAGATCGCAAGCTTCATTTCATCAAAAGTAGTCGAGGCTAGAGCTATACGCAAACGCAACCGCGTTACATTGGATCCTTTTTGTGTTGTAATAAAACAAGCCAGATATCTATATTGTCAGGGCACGAAACATCTTATGACTATTACCGATCCTATCTTGGCGCGCTGCCCGGAGTTGTTACGAAGTTGCAGACGGATTGGGGTATGGAGATCGCGCGACGCGCGAACTCGGGGAAGTGGGGTGTATAATATGACGAGTTTGCTTGTTTCTCGTATATGCAGCCCCGCGGAGATTCCTTCCCTGTTGTTTCCTCGCCCACATTTTGGAGGCTCTCAGCCACCCCTTTACCTGGGGAGAAATAGTTCGATCGCTACGACTGTCAAATCATCCCATACGTCGACGTGGAACCAGTCCGTGATGTTGATCTGCACCTTCCTCTCCTCCGTACCGCCCAACACATCCCGCATGATCCGCTCAGCCGCCGTCACCTCTGCACCCTCCAGTCCTTCCAGTGGCTTCCTGTTCGCAGATCGTACCCAGCTTTCAATCATATCTTGCTTCCGTCTTTCCGCATCCGGATGTGGATCGAGTGTCAGACGAGCGCAGTTGTCCGGCAGACCATCGCTAGCAATGATCAAGATGATTCGACCAGCCGGTAGTTTCTCGTGTGTGACATCTGCGACGGCGGTCTGACATGGAGGAGTGCGGTTGTTCGTGAGAAGGCGCTTCCAACCTATTGGATCCATCGTGTTTTCACTAGGAAGGAAGGCGTAAAATGGTGCCATAGTCTCTTTCGGCTACTTTGGTCCCAATCACCCAAAGCTGAATAGAACTGTTAGCATCTGCATACCGCCGCAATACGGAAAGCCTCACTCCTGCTTACGACTACTCTGCCAAGGACGCAACCGTTAAAAATGCAGGATTCGCCTGGGTGCGCATCTTGGATTCGCTTAACTTCATTCGCGTTGTGCGTGTTATGCTCTTCCGTTAACCGACCCACGTCCCAACTACCAGATGGATCTCCTCCCCTGTCATGACCTTTCACTGAAATGGACTCAACAATGCAAATCCCCACAATAAGCACGAGACGCACTGACCCACGAGACAGTCGCCGAGGTTGGCCACCCAAAGATCCTGAGTTGCAACTCGAATGAGGACCGCCGCCATACACGCTCCACGGAAACACCGTAGGAGCCGTGTAAGAACATCTTTTCATCGAAACGTCGTTAGCAAAGTCTGGTGCAGCGGGACATCAGACACCGCATTTTTTAGCGCTTGAGCCAACTCGTCATCGAAAGCTTGAATGCCGCGCCCGAATGCGCTTGATATTTCCGAGAAGTCACAAGTCGATTGGATCATACCCAGCTCTTGACGAATGCGTTCCAGAAGTTCGTGCTGAGCATACGCTGCGCATTCTTCTCCGCCATGTCCTGTTGCGCTACGTGAGCTTGCATCAGGTTGAAGCCTCCGAGAGTATCACCATCAATCACCATGGCTAATAGGTATTCGCCGGATGCCACCTTGAATGTATGGACCGCACAACGATCTTGGTTTGTCCTCTCAGGTTGCATACACGGCTGTAAGCTCCCTGAACTGATAGTGGCACCTGGAAAAGGGTGTTCGTGCGTGTGCACATTAGCTAATCCTCGCAGTCGCTCTGCCAGCATCCCCCGGCTCATAGGCTCCAGGTAGCGGTCCTTCAAGCGAGATTTATCCGCATTAGATGTTGCGCATAAGTATTCCACGTCAGCGCTGGAGAGTTGTGGCAAGGGCGTCTCTAGAGTCTTCGTACCAGCGGGTCACATAGCAGCGATTTCCTAAGTGCCAATGAATGCTGGCGCGCACGCTTCAAGTATAGAAAGGACCCCTGCATCTCTTGAACAAAGCACCAACTAGTGAAAACGAGGTAGCTCAAATCGGGGTCCTAGCATCCAATCATCTTACTCCATGGGTCAATGTAACACGTATTTGTGATACATCTCTGATGCGGCAGGCGGAAAGACAAAATCCAACCCCGAGCTTATTAGGGAGCGGCACGTCATTTTTCGGTCGGGGCTGTTGTTTCCTTAGTTTACGCTTCCAACAATATTGTTCAGAGGATCTCGGCCACTTCATTTGGAAAAAAAAACATATCGATGACTACTACCGTCAAATCATCCCACATGCTTTCATGGAACCAGTCGGTCATGTTTATTAGCACCTTCCTTTCCTCTGTGCCCCCTAATGCATTGCATATGATTCACTCAGCCGCCGTCACTTCCACCTCTTCTAATCCTTCCAGGGGTTTTCGGTTCGCAGAGCGTACCCAGCTTTCCATCATTCTGTTCTTCTTTCTCTGCACATCCGGATCTATATCGGGGATTAGACGAGCCGAGTTGTCCGGCAGACCATCGCTTGCAACGATCAAGACCACTCAACCTTCTGGTAGCTTCTCGTGCGTGACATCAGCGATGGCCGTTTGATAAGGAGGAGATTTGCTGGTCATGAGAAGGCGCTTCCGCATAGCAGGTGTTTCCCAGTCCGTGCTGTACATAGGGAGGAGGGGGTAGAGTGGTGCCACAAATGACTTCAGCCACTTTTGGTCCCAATCACCTAGAGCTGAATAACTCTGTCAATATCGGCACGTCATGGGCATTCGAGGACCTACTCCTAGTTATTAATGTCATGCCAAGCACCCGATCCTGGATAATGCAAGTTTCGCCGGGGTGCTCATCTTGAATGTGATTCACTTCGCTCTGGTTGCTTGTGTTGTGCTCTTCCGTTAACCGACGCACATGCCAGCTACCAGGTGAATGCCCTTCACAGTTGTTTCCTTGCACTGAAACGGGATCAGCAACGTAATCCCGACAAGTGCAAAATCTCTGACCTACTAGGCAATCTCCTAGGTTAGCCACCCAAAGATCCTTAGTAGAGACCCGGATCAGGACTGCTGTCACGCAGGCTCCAGAAAAGCAACGCCGGAGATGGTCGAGAGGCCTTCCTTGGAAAAAACGTGTCGGACAATGCTTTTCCAGACGGAATGCTGGACACGACATCCTGCAGCCCTCGAGCTAGCCCGTCATCAAACGCTTTGATACCGCGTTGCAATGCGCTTGATATTTGCGAGATTGGACAACCAGCTTCAACCCTTTTCACCTCCCGGAGAATGCAACGCGGAATACTATGCTGTGCACTCTCTGCACAATGTTTACCCCCGTGCCCTGTTCTCGGATGTAAGCAAACGCCAGATCAAACACCAGCGGAATGGGGCTTGCCATCGATCACCATCGCCAGCAAGTACTCGCCAGACTTGATTTGGACCACCAGGCGATCTTGGTTTAAACCCCAAGGCTGCAAACTCCCTGAACTGATGCTAACACCAGGAAACGGATGCTCGTGTGTTTGCACATTTGCCATTTTTCGCAGTCATTCTGCCAGCCTCACTCCACCCACAGGTTCCAAGTACCGATCTTTGACTTCCCATTCCTTTGCATTTGACGTCAAGCACAGGTACTTCACTTCAGCACTGGTAAGATGTGGAAATGTTATCTGCGGATCTTTGGTGGTGGAGGACGACATGGTTGTAATGGAGCCGAACCTCCTATTAGGAAAGGGACCTCTCTTTGTTTGCTGTGATACCCACTTCGTTGCCCTTCCTTCCTTAGGGCAACTTATCTTACTTGTTCAGCAATGGACTGCTTATACTATATTCCCCTCATTACAGACCTCCGGTGTTATCGGATCTACACTTCGCACATACGCTCATATTGCTTCGTCCTTAATAAGCTTATCGACACTAGAACAGGTCTCAAAGTGCCATTTGCTATCTAGTCATCTACAATCATCTATGTATACACTGGGTCGCCAGCCGCCAGCGAATATGTGAAAAGTTGCATGTAGGCAGGAACACGCCGTCTCTTGTGATGTTTCCTGTGATGTCTCGGATCCCTGCTACACCCAGTGTAGCTGAAGATGTTTTCCGATTCCATGTGCATCTTCGTAGTTCGTCGCCAAGTCGTCCTGGAGAACCGGGAGCAAGGGCTGGCAATTTCCCAATGATTTCGTGTCTCTTGTCCCAGAGATACTCAAACGATCTCAGTCGCTTCTTTCTTCGGGGAAAGACAAGTCGATCACTATCAGGGTCAGATCGTCCCATATCGAGAGTTGGAACCAATCGGTTATGTTCATCAATACTTTCCTTTCGTCCGTGCCACCTAAAACATCGCGCATGATTCGCTCAGCCTCTAGCCCTTCGAGCGGTTTCCTGCTGGCAGACCGTACCCAGCTTTGGATCATGTCTTGCTTCCGCTTCTCCACATCCGGATGTTGATCGAGAGTCAAACGAGCGGAGTTGTCCGGCAGCCCATCGCTCGCAACGATCACGATTACTCGACCTCCGGACAGTTTCTCATGTGTGACATCTGCGCGGGCCGTCTGATAAGGAGGAGAGATGCTGTTCGTGAGGAGTCGCTTTCGAATCAGTGGCACTTTGTTGCTAACAAAGGGAAGGAAGGGATAGAGCCGTCCCACCATCCCTTTCGGCCACTTCTGGTCCCAATCACCCAATGCTGACGAGGATTATCAGTGTCAGCACACCGCAGATGGACGTGAAACCTCACTCCTGGTCACAAGTGTCTTGCCGAGGATCTGATCCTCGATAATGCACGCTTCGCCTGGGTGCTCATCTTGGATGCGTTTGACCTCATTGCTATTACTCATGTTGTGCTCTTCTGTTAACCGCCGCACATTCCAGGTACTTGATGCTTATTAAATATGATGACCCCATTATTTTATTGACATTGTAAGGGTTTGCAAGTCGTCCCACAAGACAACCAGCGATCCGCTTATGTAACCCGCCCAAGTCGGCGCATCGGCGATGCTCGGCGCCGGGATGCTCGGCAACCATCCCTCCTGAGTACAACGACCATGTCGGTCACAGTTAGGAAGAAGCTACAGACGGCCTTACCGCACCTCAGCAGCGCCGAACTTAGATGCTTAGGCTTCGACTTGGGTGTCGATGAAGACGAGTTACCGGGTCGACAACTGGGGTTGAGACTAGGGGAGCGCATAGGACGGTTGGCCAATGTGCAAAGACATGAGCACCGGTTTTCCGACGTCAAGAGCAGTTCAGGGAGTTTGCAGCCTTGGAGGAGAAGTGAAGATCGTCTGACAGTTCAGACGTACACCATGGAGTCGGGGGAGTATCTGTTGGCAATGGTGATTGATGGTAAGCACCATGTACGGCTTTCAACCCGGACCCGCTGACGCCGGGTATTAGGACACGGCGGGAAAGAATGTGCATCATATGCCCAGAAAACACTTCCTGTACGGATTCGTCGGGAGTTAGAAGCGATCGGAACCATATCCAAGTGCGATGAAATATCAAGAGCATTACAGCGCGGCATTACAGTTTTCGACGAGCAGTTAGCCCAGGCGCTGAAGAAGGCAGTATCCAAGGTCCCACCTCAAGAAACCTTGTCCACCATGTTTTCCCAAGAAGATGTTCTGAAGCGTCTCCTGCGGTGTTTCCGTGGAGCGTGCGTGGCAGTGGTTCTGGTTCGAGTCTCAACTCAGGACCTTTGGGTTGCGAACTTTGGGGATTGTCTAGTGGGTAAGTTGCCCCTGAGATTGGAACTGTATTACTAATTTTGTTTCAGTCGAAGGTCATAAACGCGGAGGGGACCCTTCCGGTGGATGGCAGGTCCGCCAATTAACTGAAGATCACAACACGAGCAATGGCAACGAAGTGAAGCGCATAAAGAATGAACACCCTGGTGAGGAGTGTATCATCGAAGATCGGGTGCTCGGTAAAACACTTCCAACGAGAAGTAAGGTCTAGTATTCATTCATGGTGCCCCTTTGCTGACGGCTTAATTTAGCTTTGGGTAATTGGGACCAAAAGTGGCAGAAAGAGGTTGTGGGACCGCTCTATGCCTTCGTTCCCTTTGTTCGTCCCGAAACACCACCCGCTCGGGATCGCCTTCTCGCAAACAGTCTCTCTCCTCCGTATCAGATTTCCATCGCAGATGTCAGGCACGAGAAGCTGCCAGGAGGCAGAGTGGTGTTGATTGTTGCCAGCGATGGTCTTCCGGCCAACTATGCTCGATTGAATCCCGATCAACATACGGATGCCGACGAGAGCAGGCAAGACATGATCGAAAGCTGGGTACGCTCTGTCAACAGAGAACCCCTAGAAGGACTAGAAGATGCAGAAGTGACAGCCGCTGAGCGAATAATACGCGATACACTGGGTGGCAGGGATGAGAGAAAGGTACTGGTGAACGTAACTGACCGACTGCGCCTATTACGGGACGACTTGACCGTCATAGCAATCGAACTGGCTTTCCCCGAGCCTTCTGTCTAAATCATCAAACAGTATCCCCGGTCTCTGCACGGGGATTGCTACACACATACCCAATTTTTTGGCCAGCAACGAAACGATCTGTGACCGCGTCTCATTCACTCACACGGGCACACGGTGGTAAGATCAAGGTATGTCATAGACGTCTCTGATTCCTGGCTGTTGGTATTCTTGAGGGTTGTCTCTCGTCTCCTTAGAGACCAATCTCACGTGATCCTTACCATCTCCTTCCATAATAGTATGCCTGTATAATGAATTATACTGACGCGATCTAGTGTTACATGAGAGTGTGGGCAATCACAGATAGAGACCCTCTGGGGTGCCTTCATTTTTCCGATATAGCACCTTCTCCCGCGCAGTTGTGAAGTCCTGTTTTGTCACCCGCATTCTCCGCTCCCGCAACGCCAACAGACCAGCTTCTGTGCAGACGGCCTTGATATCGGCACCGCTCATCTCATCCTTCGCTGTTACGAACTCTTCGAGATCCACGTCGTCCGAGAGGCTCATGCGGCTTGTATGCAGCTTGAAGATACGCAGCTTGGTCTTGAGGTCAGGCAAGGGGAACTCGATCTTTCGGTCTATCCGACCAGGACGAATGAGCGCAGGATCAAGCGACTCGATCTTGTTCGTCGCCATGATGACTTTGACGTCTCCACGGGTGTCGAAGCCGTCGAGTTGGTTAAGCAGTTCTAACATCGTACGCTGGATCTCGCGCTCGCCCCCGGAAGTACTATCGTATCGCTTGGTACCAATAGCGTCGATTTCGTCGATGAATACGATAGATGGCGCGTGTTCTTCGGCGACGCGGAAGAGTTCGCGGACGAGCTTAGGCCCATCACCAAGGTACTTTTGGATGAGTTCGGAACCGACGACACGCAGGAAGGTGGCAGAAGTTTGATTGGCAACAGCTTTCGCTAGAAGGGTCTTGCCGGTGCCCGGGACGCCGTACAAGATGACACCTTTTGGCGGCTTGATACCCATCTCTTCGTATAGTTCGGGGTGGGTCAGTGGTAATTCAACGGATTCCTGAAACGGGAATGAGCGATTGCTTTGTCAACATGATAAGCACCATAAAATATACCTTGATCTCTTGAATCTGGTTATCCAACCCTCCAACATCCGCATAACTCTCTGTCGGTGCCTTGTCCAGTTTCATCACGTTGACCATCGGATCAGTGTCGTCCTGGAGTACACCAATGACCGCACTTGTCTTGTGGTGGAGCAAAACGGAGCAACCGGGCTCCAACAAATCCTTGTCCACGAAACTCATAATTGAGACGTAGTATTCGGGGCCACTCGCTGTGCTGATGATGGCATGGTCGTCATCGATGATTTCCTCAAGCGAGCCAACGCCCATAGGAGAACCACGCAAGTCATCAACTCGGGTCCGCTCCTCCTCATTCTTGTCCTCCATCACGCTCGGCTTCATTCTCTCCTGGCTCTGCACAAATTCTTCCTCCAGCAACAGGTAGTCCTTGATTCGCTCCATCTTGAGTAGTTTCAAGCGACAGCGTGTAGTGGGGTAGACAGCAGGCAGCTTGGTGGCTGCATCGGGACCGCGCTTCTTCTTCTTGCCAACGCGAGTGGGCAACGGAGGTTCCCATTTCTTTGGCTGAGGTTTCTACTCAAGATTTGAGTAGACGTTCACTGACCAAGCCCTGTTATGCACACCTTGTCCTTCGCGTCCTTATTCTGACCATCCTTGTTCCCACCAGCTGGGTTGAGTCCAGATGCAGCATTACCCTAGATATAATATCAGAGCCTTTATCTACAGATGGTCAAGGGTAGACGAACCATGTCAATTTAGCAAAGAGGAGTATGGTCGATGTATGCGTGAATGCTTTCACCTAACATCGCTGGACTTTTGGATATCCGACGACGCGTCACCCAAATGCTTCCGTAAAGAGTGGCGTAGCGTTGGTCAGACGCCTTCAATTCAAGCGCTCAATGTGCACCGCCACTTGCTACCAACTCTCACTGCTCCTCGACCACCAAAAGCAAAGTCATCATGTCCACCAACATAATTTTCTCCGCCTTTCCTCCCTACAATACTTTCAACATCGCTCTTCCTAATGACACCCTGGTCGCTGATATTTCGACCCACGTTGCTTCTCGCATCCCTGGCGCCGAAAACCTTCAGTATTCTCTTGTCTCTGGTGTTCCTCTTCCCGTTGTCGACACATGCATCTCCGCACTTGCCTCCGGATCTTCTTATGTACGGCTGCGTGTGACTCCGAGGATTCTTGGTGGAAAAGGAGGCTTTGGGTCTCAGCTGCGTGCTGCTGGTGGCCGTATGAGCAGCCAGAAGACCGATAACAAGGACAGCTGTCGAGACTTATCTGGAAGGAGACTGAGCACGATCAAGGAAGCAAAGAAGTGACCACCCTCATTGCCTTAATCTCATAGAATGTGCTAACCCGAAACTCAGGATGGCGGAATATCTCGAGTCTGAGCCGTTACGGCAAAAGGCAGCTAAGGAAGCTCAGAAAGCGAAGCTCGAGAAGCTTGAGCGCGAGCTCGGTGGGACACCCGGCAATGCTGAATCATCCAAGCTTGAAGACACATCTGTCGTCGCTGGCAAGAAACACCGATTTGACGATATCGAATACTTGAAGCAGTCCGAGGAGATTGTCGACAGCGTCAAGAGCGCTGTCGTTGCTGGGTTGCTGAAGAAGCGAAAGAAGGCGAAGGTCTCGAATGAAGAGAAAGCTACGGAAGCTGTGACAGCTTCGACGTCTTCATCAGACGGTCCGCTAGCCGAAGTTACTCAGGCTGTGCTAGAATCTCCTGTGACAGCACCAGTTGCTGCTGCCGCTGCTGTAGCAGCCGGCGTGGCGGCAAGTGCCTAACGGCTGTACTAGAGTAGGTCCTGTATTGTATGCATATTATTGGTACAGATGCACATTGCAATCATATACAATAAACCGACTCAGAAATCCTCGAACCTTCCAGGGAACACCATTGGTGCAACGAGAGTCCAAACGTAGAGTGCGTAAGATATCCATGACGATACAATGCGCATCCACATCGCGGTCTCGGAGCGGCCGATGTAAACAGGATTATCACCCACTCCAGAATCGTGCACGACATTCCTGCGAAAATGATTGAATATCAGGCCAATCCAATCGAAACGTGAACGTACCAGTCTGTCAGTAACATAGCGACATACATACAGCCCATAATGAAGATGACGTGGAACCAAGAATACTAGGAAAAGTCAGCACCAAGCCAGGACGTGAAATAAGGCTGGGCGTACATTATACTTCGTGCTGCTCCTCTCATCGTCTCTTTCCTCACCCGAGGGTTCATCGTCTTCCAAATCCTGGTCGTCGTCTTCGTCGAGAGCCGAAGCAGGAATGGAGCCAGCTTCGACTGCAGCCAAAAGTGCCTGGTACCGGGGCGTATCCCTACGACTGGGCTGCGAGGTGAGAATATGTTGGCCATCAGCAGTTGGGACAGCAGTGTAGCCATCCATGGAATCGTAGCCCTTCCTCCCCTTTCCAATAAGAGCCTTACTCTGTGTGGCGGCCCTCGAAGTGGAATAGGCAATGGCGAGGAACGTGAAGACAGCACCGAGAATAACTGTGGTGGTGCGTGTAGTCGCTGCTCCACCACCCCATGGGTTGCAAGTGCCATCATTGTGATTCCCAACGGCGGAAGTGACGAGGTAGGTGCAGTATGCGGCAATCATGGCGGATTGTGCAAGACCGGACCGGGGATTCGCCTCCTGAACGGCGGGATGTATGCTGATGATAGTGATGATAATGAGGAGCGCCAAGTTGAACGAGATGAAGAAGCGGTTGAGGGTGCATCCGGAACTGGCGAACCAAGCATACATTATCCCCGTCAGCGCAATGGCCGCGGAATACAGGCCAGCAGTCGAACCAACGAGGACAAATTGCCACAGATTGGAGTCGGATGCTTCCCATTTCTCCAGACACATCTCGGACCAAGAATGGGCAAAGTCGACCAGCAGAACGAGTCCAATAATGATGAAGATGCTGGCTCCTATCATAGCGACCCAGTTGCCCCAAAACATGAAGAACTCATTGGGAATGAAGAAAGACGCCACGATGAGAAGGATCCAGAGGAGAACTTTGGGTCCCCAGAACCTAAATTACGTCAGTTCGGTCTCTGATCATTCGATGACTTGACAAACCCGTTCTGAATCGCAGAACGCTTGTCGCGAGTGTTGTTCACGCCGATCAGCAGCGCACCCAAAATGAAGTGGAACAGCGACAGCGCGAAGCAAATTCGATGTACCTGCAGATTATATGAGCTCTTCTTTCAGTACAACGCCTTGTGAATACGCACAGCGAGCACTCCGTAACATTTGCCCTCTTTGCATTCCATCTTAATGTAGTCATAGCTCCACTTCTCGATAAGCCGGATCATAAAATCGGTCTTCATAATCCATGCCAGTATCGAATTGAGACAGAATATCAACTAGAGAGATGAGTCAGCTACCTTGGTTGTGTTACCCTCTTGCACGAGAACTCACAGCAAAGCCAACACGGGTTGCGATTGACGAGTTGCAGTTACATGACTTGCAGAACATCGAGGCCGCTGTCGATGTGCAGCAGAATGCAACACCTGCTAGAGCAGATGTCGCAATAGTGCTTAGGGGCCCCACGATGGGGATTACAGATAGTGCTGCACCCATTGCAAACGAGGCAGATATCAATGGACAGTGGTGATGAGTAGGGAGGTGTCGTCAGGAGAACTTGCGATCTGCACCTCGATCTTCCCAGATCTTCCCATGCGGTTGCTGCGCGCACAGCCACTCAGAGCCTCTTTATGTAGCTCTGGCACGCGACCCCTTTAGCGCTCATCGCGTCTTGTAACTACAGGCCTTGGTTGTTCAACAACAAACAAAAGCAAAGCGTGTTGGAGACCAACGTGCGAGTTGTATAATACGATCGACTTGCGACACGACAACGATATATCGAGCAAGGGTCTCTGTTGAGCCCTCTATTGCACCGGATGATGAATCTCACCGTCAGTCACCCCGATTGACGATGGAAGTGCTTGATAGGTTGCATCATCATTGGATGTTGAGATCAATTCCATGTTACAGGGGGGTTGCCATGTTTGACTTAGAACGTGATATGTATGTCTTTGCTTGCAAACTCCATATATTGTCCCTTACCCTTCGTGCTTGGCGGTCTGCCCACACATTCGAAACGCTCGTACGGTCTTAGCCAACGTGCGACTTATGAATTCCATTGTTGAACGGTGATACCAGTCACGGGTATGAAACACGTCAAGTCATAGAAAGCAACTTGGGTATGACGCACTCACAATGTCCAAGACATCACGAGGACCCTTTACCACATGCGTCCTCTTGTTCCTGAAAGCTTGGCCTTTCCAGAGTGTGCGGACTAGCATGAAGTGGAGGAGGAACGGAATTCAGAGCTGCATGGCCGACCTTCGAATACCGCCCCGTCGCAGAAGCTTCTGATGGCGGCCACCAACGTGAACCCGACGGGGTACCGATTAGCCGTCGGAGGATGTCCGTCGGGGCTAAGCGCCGGCAGAGAACCGCGAAGAGTACCGTGTGTTGATCTCACCGGCGGATATCTTGCCAAGCGGACGGGCTACCAACATAAGACGGGCCGTGACGCGTGGTGGGAGGCCCTGAGGGGAAATGAGTAATCCTTGCTCGTGTGCCAAGAAATGCACCATATGGCACACCAGGACACCGCCAACCAGAAAGGATCAGTGCGTATGCAAATCATGGCGAGGGTCGTGGTGCATGTGGGTGATTCCAGGCACTCTACTCGTGCATTTTAAGGGAGGTTATCAACTTTGATGTATGCGACGAGTGTCTCCGCCGGGCCCCGATCCTCCGCTGACAGCAGCGTTATCGGCCGTTCGCAGGTTCTGGCAGCGATTGTCGCAGACTTGTTCCAATCCACGAAGTCCGACCCGTTGGGAAACGTCCACTTTCGACAGTGAGAAGGAGGCAGACCCTGCGATGCAGGGTTGTTGCCCTCGAGCAGTATGATCCAACCGTCACGGGGCCAAGCCCAACCTCTGGAAATAGACGACAAACACGAACGTTTGAAATCCGACCGCCTCCTAAATTGTGCTCGCCTTTCCCGTCGGGTTCGTAGAAGTCGCTTATGACGGGATGGCGGGGCAAATACGGAATCCGGGATGACAATGTCATAAAGAAGCCTCCTTGCCAGTCATTGATCCGCTAAGCCACACCGGATGTCCGAGTGCTAGTACAAATGGAACACTATGGCACCAGCTTGGACACATTGACAAGACTAGATCGTACGTTGCGAACGAGTTGGTACGTCGATCGAGTTCACCGATGCCCGAGCATTGCACTCCCAAGTACCCAAACACGAAGGACAATTAAAGAGTAGTGTGCACTCACCGGTCTGGCGCACGAGCGAAAAGTCAGCGCACCCGGCGGAAAGCAATCCGATGATGCGGGGCATTTGATGAGATTAAGTTGGACAGGCACTGACCGACCGACAAACGTGCGAAGTCAAATAAGCAATCGAAAAAAGACTCCGTTAAGCGCCCCTTTGTCGCGCGAGCAAGTATAAGCTTGGCAAAGCCACGTGAAGTCATATTGAATTGAGAATGCCATCATTCATTCTCTTGGCGGAACGGGCATTGCTTCTTAGTGGCGTTGCCAATTCTCCTATGTTGGGCGGGTGGAGCGATCCATGGCGGGTGTCGCAGCGGAAAAACTGAATGTACGGTGTCTTGGACTGTACAATATTGCATGCGGTACGTGCTTTGGCTAGCCGACCTCGGTCTGAAGATGCATGTACAAGCAGAGGGTGAAATACCAGTAGTTGTCGTGTGTGGACAGGGCAACTTGCTCGTTCTTGGCGAAATCATCTAGGGAACCCGAAATAAGAAGTTTCTTGCCAAAGGAATGAGGACTAGGCAGTGAGGTATGAGTGACAAGATGGAATGATGAGAGAGGTGTGTGGCTGCTTTGTGTTTCCGGGTGTGTGTTGCATGAGGGAAGAAGGGTTTCACGGGTTCCGCGTCTCGGCATTTACACTCAAACGGAAGCGGTGTAGAGACGACTTAGGGTCCACGTTGCGAACGTGCCCAACGCTTCCTGCTATGATTGGTGGAATCTGGACCAGAAAGGAAATTGTCAACCATGTGGAAAAATATCCGCCTGCCTCGCAGTCGACTCCTCTGGCGTTCTGGGCGGAGCAGCTGCGGCGACCGGGACATAGAGAGGTCCACATGCTTCCATATGGCACACTGCTTACGCAAACTATCTCACACACACCGAGAGCCTCGAATGTCCCGCAAGTTTTTCAAGCCATGTTGGCTCCAATCTCCCTCCCACACACCGCCCGGATTCATCAGGAAATCTGAGGGGCGCGAGGCACACAAGGGGCGTACGCGAGTGGATTTCGGGTGGGGAAGGAGGCGGACATCAACTTTTCCGGAAGGGACAGAATGGGGTTGCCTCAGCAATACTTAAACCAGCTTCTCCCTCTCGCCTGGACGCCCTCTCTCATCGGCCCTTTCCGACAGAACTCACTCTCGTACTCGAGTTCCCCCCAACACTTGCCATTCATCCACTAAAATGGACCCAAATAAAGAGTTTGATCCTAAGACTGCCAACTTCGATGAGCTGAACCACATCACCAACCTCGACCTCCGTCGTCGGGCTGCCCTCGCGGAGATCGACAATGCCAAGTTCTCCTTCTTCCATCTAAAGGCCGTCCTTGTCGCTGGTGCCGGTTTCTTCACTGGTGAGCGCCTAAACACAGCCCCTGCGTCCAATCTTGCACATTCTGATGCCCGTGTGTTCTTTTTTTAGACGCTTACGACATCTTCGCCATCTCCATTGCCTCGACCATGCTGGGTTATGTCTACAACAACGGCGGTGCCCTGACTGTCAATCAGGATCTCGGTGTTAAGGTTGCCACTCCTATCGGCACTTTCGTCGGCCAGCTTCTCTTCGGATGGCTCGCTGATATGGTTGGACGGAAGCGGATGTACGGTATCGAACTCATGATCAGTAAGCTTTCTTTCCTTCATTTTACATCTCGTAAACTGATTTTGTTGCAGTCATCGGCGGTACCTTTGCACAGGCTCTTTGCGGTGATGGCCCTGCGGTCAACGTTATCGGTGCTCTCATTGTCTGGCGTTTCATCACCGGTGTCGGCATTGGTGGGGACTACCCGCTCTCTGCCATTATCACTTCTGAATTCGCTGCAACTCGTATCCGTGGCCGCATGATGGCTGCCGTGTTCGCCATGCAGGGTTTCGGTAATTTCGCCGCTGCCATCGTTGCCACCGTTGTCGTTGTTGCATACAAGAACCAGATTCTCGCCGATCCGCCCAACCAGCCTGACCACGTCGACTATTGCTGGCGTCTCCTCATCGGTCTCGGCTGCGTTCCCGGTGTTATCGCCCTCTACTTCCGTCTCACCATCCCCGAGACTCCCCGTTACACCATGGATGTTGAGCGTAACGTCCAGCAGGCCACCACCGATGTCGAGAACTTCATGGCCACGGGCACCTATGAGTACAACCCCGATGCAATTGTCCAGCGCGCCCAGGCCCCCAAGGCCAGCCGTCGCGACTTCATCGCCTATTTCTCCCAGTGGAAGAACGGCAAGATCCTTCTCGGCACGGCATACTCTTGGTTCGCGCTCGATATTGCCTTCTACGGTCTCGGTCTCAACTCTTCCATTGTGCTGAGCGCCATCGGCTTCGGCTCTTCCACTGCCTCAACCCCTCAACAGAAGATCTACGATAATCTGTACAATGTTTCCGTCGGTAAGCTGACTCTTTCGATCCTTCGAATGAAAGATTTCTGACGTCGTGGTCAGGCAACATCATTCTTGCCGTCGGTGGTCTCATCCCTGGTTACTGGGCGACTTTCCTCGTGGTTGACTCTTGGGGTCGCAAGCCCGTTCAGCTCATGGGCTTTGCTATGCTCACCGTTATCTTCGTCTGCATGGGTTTCGGCTACTGGGCCATGCAGACCACCCACGCGGCCAAGAGCGCGTTCGTGTTCCTCTACTGCCTTGCCAACTTCTTCCAGAATTTCGGCCCCAACACGACTACCTTCATCATGCCCGGAGAGGTCTTCCCCACCCGCTACAGGTCTACCGGCCACGGTATCTCCGCTGCCTCAGGCAAGCTCGGCGCCATCGTATCCCAGGTCGGCTTCGCCTGGCTCCGTAACATCGGCGGCACCAACTACTGGATCGGCCACATCCTTGAACTCTTCGCCTTCTTCATGCTCACAGGTCTTTTCTCCACTATGCTCATTCCCGAAACCACCAACTTCACCCTTGAGGAGCTCTCGAACGAGAACCAGGAAGGCTTCATCCGGGATGTTGCACCTGTCGTCGTCCAGGATGGCGTTGTACTCCAGCCCGCCGTCACAAACGGCGAGACCAAGGAGACTGTGTAGACTGTTGAGGTTGCAGTTGCACTCCGCTTTATGTTTATCTTGTTCGGGTTTTTCACGTCTAATGCCTCTGACGATGTGACAGTGTAATGCCACGTCAACGACGAGTTGTTTAATAATGTTACAGGGTATCGTCCTAAACGATAATCCGCGATAATAGATGTCTGCAAGGTTTTCCTCTGGAAGAGTGTGAAGTAAAATTGACCATCGTTGAGGGCCTGTTCGGAATTTAGAGTGTACGCATTGTTGCGCAGTGAGCCTGGGCGGACTTGCCATACTATGAAGCATCTAGTCACCCTGAAGGAAATTGGTATAACGTAACAGTGCAATGATATGTAGGGATACAGTGGGAATACAGCAAACATTCCCATGCATCAAAAATGTTCTCTCTGACAACCACTTTTCGCATCACCGGTGGAATGTACGCTCCAGATTGGATAAAAGAGGTCTACATCCCTATCTCCGCTTCGTTCTTCAGGGCCACGACAGCCTCGCCAGTTAATTCACCCTCTTTGTTCCCAAAGAAAGGATGTCACCGAGAGCCGTTCGTTTCGGTGGTACTTTTCATGTCGAGTAGTTAGACTCTGTTCGAAAGTGATTGACGAAATCTAACGATAACCTGCATCAGATTACTAGAACTGAGGTGGAATTTATTCAGGCAAAGACAGTTCGATCGCTACCACTGTCATATCGTCCCATATATTCACGTGAAACCAGTCGGTCAGATTGATCATCACCTTCCTTTCCTCCCTACCGCCTAACACATCCCGTATAATCCGCTCAGCCGCTGTCACTTCCACATCTTCTAGCCCTTCCAGCGGTTTTCTGTTCGCAGACCGCACCCAGCTTTCAATCATCTCTTGATTCCGTCTCTCCACATCCGGGTGGGGATCGAGGGTCAATCGAGCGCAGTTATCCGGTAGGCCATCGCTCGCGACAATCAACACCACTCTGCCGCTCGGAAGCTTCTCGTGCTTCACGTCTGCCACGGAGCTCTGATATGGGGGAGTGAGGCTGATGTTCAGAAGGTGCTTTCGAGCTCGTGGCATTCCATCGCCAATGAAGGGAAGGAAGGGGTATAAACGTGCCACCATGTCTGCCGGCCACTTTTGATCCCAATTGCCCACAGCTGGATAGATCAGTTAGCATTAGCGTTGGGTGAATAGAAATATAGTCTCACTTCTTGTTGGACGGATCCTGTCCATGACTAGCTCATCAAAAATGCATTGCTCGCCCGGATGTTCATCCTGAATCCGTTGCAATTCATCCTTATTGCTCGTGTTGTGCTCTTCCGTCAACCGACGTACAATCCAGCTGCCTGATGGATCTTCTACGTTCTCATGACCTTCCACTGTAGTAGTATCAGCAATCGAGATCCTACCACAAACAATGTTTAGGTAGACTGACCCACCAAGCAATCCCCCAGGTTCGCCACCCAAAGATCTCGAGTGGAGGGTCTGATAAGCACTATCATCACGCAGGCTCCACGGAAACACCTCAACAACAGCTATTGGGAAAGAAGAGAAACTCCAACACTCCGTATGACGGGTTGTCCATGTGAGGAAGGGCTTGGTGTAACAGAATAGTCACGGCAAGGAACGGGTTGGGAAAGAGAGCGCGAAGAGGCGCTATCAGAATGAAGCGTTGCTGCCACAGACGTGACGTCATGGATGCTATTATCAAGACTTGAATCGAAGATAGATAGCATCTGTCTGTCCGTATGTCATGCGAGATTGGACCAGGAATGCATGTGCTTAGTATGGCAAGAGGGGTGCATGCTAAGTGACTGTCTAACGTCTTCAGAAGTCGCGGTCTGTTCGATGATTTGTACCTTGTCTGGAGGCCCAGGCTAGGCTACAGCAGCATATTCCGCACTCACGACCGGGGATGATGGCTGTCTTGCTCCAGCGCATTTGCCAGTGACCAATAATACTGCTCCAATAAGGTGACCATATCCCAGTGAGCAAATGGGGCAACATCGTCAAGATATGAGTCGGAAGGAAGGGTCATGAAAAGAACAAGCTCTCCAGATACTTGGTCCTGATCGTCGAGAGGACGAGTGTAATTGAGGCTGAGATTCCAGGTTTCGCGCAAGCAAACGCTCCGAGGCACATGTAGTTCGGACACCCCATCTATTCTTCTTCCGATCAATGCTGGAACGAGGGGAGCAAGAAGGGCCATGAGCAGTGATTAGTGTGCACTAGGTACATAGCAATCCATCGGCCTCAAAGACGAGCTTGAACCAGTCCAGAATCATTTGAAGCTCATCCGCCATTTCTTCCAAGAAAACAATAGGGAAGAGGAAATCTTGGACATTCTGAAAACGGGCGTAGCCACTTGTGTTTGACAATCCCGACGAGTGGCTAACCCTTTCCACGTTCTCCACTCGTTGCAAGCGTCAGTTTCTCTTCGGATACTGGCGTTTGGTGTTCTCTCCTCGATCGAATCAATATGGATCCATGTGAGAGAGATGCATCAGAGTTGATCGTGTTGAAAACTGCTCTTGATATCGTCCCTTGTATCCAGCCGCTCCAGTTAGATACCTGCACATATATACATCGCATTAGGCAAGGAGAGTGCTGGGCGCGTGTTTTGAAGAGAAGAGAGCGGGATCTTCAGGACGGTCTTCTCAAAGATGTAAGGCCAAATGTAGAAAGTACAAGAAGACATACGGAGGGAGATACAAGCTTGAAGGGACGACCGAAAGACATGCGACGCGTCAGTCCGAAATAAAATTGTGCAGACCAAGTCACGTGCTCACACAATTTTCGACCTATGAATGGGGGCACACATTTTACTTGAAGTTTATTCAGCAATAGAGTACAATCTTTACTAGTGACAGTGGGTCGTGATACAAATGATAAATTCATACATAGGCTAAACCGCGATAGGCCGTTCATCCTATTGTTCATTAATTGTCTGTCGTATCCTTCGTGAAGCATGCCCCGTCCTAATACAGAATGGTGACTACCACCGCTTCCGACGAACAGTAGTAAGGCCGGTGGGTTGAGGAGAGGGAGAACAAGAACTCGGCCGGGAATGAACTAATAGCCTCGGCGATGGTGATGGTTCGGGTGTAAGTGGGTGGCTGCTATATTTCTTCGGTTGTTCCATCCCAAGCAACCAGTGAAGGGATTTATACCGTTCACATTCGCACACATCAGCGAAAGGAAGCAGCATGTGTTTTCGATGAGGCACAAGATTGTCGTAGCAATTTTTGCAGTCTTCAATTCCGTTGATATATGTGATGAACAGATCGGCAAGTGTTAAGTCGCCTCGAATCGTGCCGGATCTATCGATCTCGCCCAAGGGAAAGCTCGTCCGGATGGTTTCCCAATATATGGAGAGCTGAGGGAGAGCAGCTCGCAGGGAGTAGATATGAGGGGGGAACCAAGCCATTCGAATACGCAGACTTTGCGGAACCATACGTGCAGGAACGCCAGGCACATGAATCCCACCCATGCAAAGAACAAGTGGTGATAAAATGCCATATCGTTGGAGAATTTCTTGCCAATCTGGCACTTCCCTGCGTTTCTTCAGGAGCAGCTTACGCCAGTCCATGGGCTTTCTCTTCTTGTCCACATCGTTCTGCAGAATCTTCACGGCTCTAAGAAAGAAATCGAGCCGCTAAATCAATGATCAGACATGACGCAATGGATTCAGGATTGGCTCACTCTTTCTTTGAGATTTTGGCTTGTGAGGGTCTTCCAGAGACTGCGCGTATTACCGTTATCCTTTGCATCGTCAAAAAACAGTCGTACCCCAGATCTCGTATGGGCTTCGTCATGACCGGAACCCATTCGAAATGGGGGGTAATGCGATCGGAGGGGTCCTCGGAAGCAAAACATGTCGGACATAACAGCTAAAAATAGTCTCCGGAAGGGGGGGGGGGGGGAAGCCAGAAAAAGCTCTTATGAGTGGCTAATACCGACTGGAAACGGCATGTCGGCTCTTTGTGTCGCCAAACATCAGTCATTATTACCAAAATCGAGCTGAAATGGCCTTATTTTTATTTATGAAAATCTTACTCCAGACCGCCCCGGACTTGCATATCTATATGAAGATACTGTCAGGCTGGTAATGCAAATGCGAAATCAGGGGGTTATGCATATTCACTAGTGGGCCCCCTAATGACGGGGCCCGTCACCCGCTCAACCCATTCCAAATTGGGGGGTATGCGATATCACCGGTATGCGAAAGGTCGGGTACGACTGTAGTAGTCAACATAGTGGGGCAGGCCTGCCCGCGCAACTTGCTCATCTCCGTCGACGTCGCGCATCCGTTCCTGTATGGCAGCGCAAATGTAAAAGCGATTGTAGGGGTGAAGTGTCGCGTCCCGGACGCTTTGGAGTGTTCTTTTGAGGATAGATCGCTCGGCCTGGAGCGACCATGGAGTGAATAGATGGGAAGTCATTCAAAGGAAAGGAGACAACGAAGTGATTCCGAAGTTTAGATGCTGGCCGGCAGCTATGATGGTGACAAGCCGACTCAAGAGCTTGAATATTGGGGGGGGGACAGACAGGGCCACAGATCGCAATGACCTGCCCTTTAATATACATAGCCAGGTTTGCGCCATGGTGGCAAGGAGGTTGTAGATATTGTCGAAAACAGCTTTCCAGTTTCTGTGGCCGCTGATAGAAAGGACAAAAACTCGTCCTTCGATTTCTTCTTTGTCGGAACGGATAAACGTCGTTACACGTGGAGGTCCGGCTCCCACTTTGCTTCCGTTCACTCCTCTCCTCCTGGCGCCCTTTGTGCACAAGAAGTCCTTTGCGCACCACACTTGAGCCTGGGAAGCTGTACACCGACCATACTTGGTGCTAACAATACGACATATGCTTTGATTACACTTTGTAGCCGCACGACAGGCTGTGGGGAAGTCCAAGAACTGCAATGGACAATGAACACCGCTCGAAATGATATGTAAGAATAGTCGACGCGTCACTTATTCAGTTCTGCACCAATTTTATTCTCACGGTCTCCATTGTCTCAATTTGCTAGCCGGTTCATCCTGATATCCTTATAGCGCTTTTGAAAGAGATTTCTTCCAATCTGCACTCCTTCAAGAGTTACTGTGATTGTCCTTCGAACTCGGTGGCTATGCCGTCCCATAGGCTAGTAGGGGATAGGGCTGGAGACCAGTCATGTCAACACGACCATGATGGCGTCTGATACTAGTACGAATGTAGAGTTACCGTTACCACAGCTCACCAACGCTGAACTTGAATACTTGGGTTTTATCTTGCGCCAACAAGATGAACCTCGGTGGGAACGCTACCTGGAACGAATGGATACCGTGATGCTGGCAGAACGACTGCGAGGGTTGGCCAACGTGCAAACACATGAGCAGCCTTACCCCCATGTCAAAGTCACTTCTGGGAGCCTCCAGCCCTGTTCGAATCCTAGGAAGACAAACGAAGACCGCATTGTGGTCCAGACTTTCACGTTGGAGTCGGGCGAATACATGCTGGCGATGGTGATGGATGGTGACCATTCTTCCCCAGGTTTCCGGTCTGCGTCTCGCTGACACCAAGTATTACGTCATGGAGGGGAGGATTGCGTTGCGTATGCTCAACATGAGCTCCCTGCACGCATTCGTCGAGAACTTGAAGCGATCAGACGCACTTGTGCGTCTTGGGAAATATCACTCGCGCTACGACGCGGCATTACGGCTTTCGACGAAGAGCTAGCCAAAACGCTGAAGGACAGCGTGTCTCAGGTCCCACCTGAAGAAGCTTTGTCTTCGACATTTCGCAGAAAGCATATTCTGAAGGCACTGCTGCGGTGTTTCCGTGGAGCACGTATGGCGGCCGTCCTGCTTCGAGTCCCTACTCGAGATCTTTGGGTGGCTAATGTTGGAGATTGTCTGGTGGGTCAGTCCATTTCGTACGTATGATTATAATTGCACTCATGATTATTATTTCAGTGGAAGGGCATGAACTTGGAAGCCATCTATCGGGTGATTGGGAGGTGCGTCGCTTAACGGAGGAGCACAACACGAGCAATAGCAACGAAGTGAAACGCATACAAGATGTGCACCCCGGCGAAACCTGCATAATCGAGGACCGAGTACTCGGTAGGACACTCCCAACAAGAAGTGAGGCATTCTGGCTGCTAAGGAACATCAATCCTGACAAGTCTATCCAGCCCTGGGGAATTGGGACCAGAAGTGGCCAACAGATATCGTGGGGCCACTGTATGCCTTTGTTCCATTTGTCGATACGGAAGCGCCATTCTTTCGGAAACGTCTTCTCACGAACAGCCTTTCCCCTCCGTATCAGACAGCTCTCGCAGATGTTACGCACGAGAGACTACCGGTGGGTAGAGTGGTGTTGACTCTGGCGACCGACGGTCTACCGGATAATTCAGCTCGAATTAACCTCGACGACCACCCGGATGCGGAGAATAAACAGGAGATGATCGAAAGCTGGGTGCGCTCTGCGAACAGGAAGCCTCTCGAAGGACTCGAGAAATTGGAGGTGACAGCCGCCGAGCGAATCATACGCGATGCTTTGGGTGGAACAGACGAGAGAAAAGTGCTGGTGAATAGAACCGATTGGATGCGCCTTTCTATATGGGACGATTTGACCGTCATAGCAGTCGAACTGACCTTTCCTTTATGAGAAGGCCCGTCCCGGTATGGTCGGTATGGTTATACTTCAGGGGATTTGTGCTCAGACAGCTATTTTATAGGGTGTCGTTGAGATTCAAGTTTGTGAAATCACTTCAGAACATCTACGAAAGCTCCAGGACATTCAGACGAAGAACAAGAGACAAAAAGATGAGGAGAATACCAAGTTGCCCATTTAGGACATTTGCACGTTTTGCATCAGCAGAGGCTGACCTAATTGTAGATATCAACAGATAGTTGCCCATCTGATCAATCGAGAATGGGCGATTTGGAAGTACCAAATGCGTCTGTTGGTCATTGCCAAATTGGTTGAGCTGTAAATCAAAAGCTACGGGTTTCTCCTTTTCATTTACACCACATATAAGCTGTGTGACGTCAGAGAAGAGATATCGAGGGAGCTGCGAGCAATTTCCTGATTCCACGCCTGCAGTAGACACGATCAGGTGACTTTCTTCCTTAGGAGAAATGGATCTGTTGTGGTGATTGTACGGCAGTGGAAGACCACAAGAATGCGGAAGACCCGACTGGAAGCTGGCATGTACTCGGTTAACCGAGTAGCACAACACGAACGATAAGAACGAAGTGAAGTGGATCCAAGATGAGCATCCAGGCGAGGAGTGCATATTCGAAGATCACATGCTCGGTAAGAATCGTCCAACGAGGAGTGAGGTTTCGTGTTCATTCATTCACGGGACGCTAATGTTGACAGTTCGATCCAGGTTTGGAAAATTGGGACCAAAAGTGGCCGACAGACATTGTGGCGCCGCTGTACCCCTTCCTTCCCTTTATTAGCGATGAAGCGTCACTGGTTCGAACACGCCTTCTTACGATTAGCCTCACTCCCCCATACCAGACCACCGTGGCAGATGTGAAGCACGAAAAACTTCCGAGCGGTAGAGTGGTGCTGATTGTCGCGAGCGATGGGATTCCGGACAACGGAGCTCGATTGACTCTCGAACCACATCTGGATGTGGAGAGACGGAATCAAGAGGTACATTCAGCGAACAGGAAACCGCTGGAAGGGCCGGAGGATGTAGAGGTCACGGCGGCTGAACGAATTATGCGAGATGTGTTGGACGGTACGGAGGGACGGAAGGTGCTAATGAACATAACCGACTGGTCCCAGGAGAAATATGGGACGATTTAATTTGACGGTTATAGCGATTGAACTGGTTTTCCCTAGTGAGGAAATAACCTGGAATAGAATCACGTGTCACTCCCTCATCTCGGAGATGAATTTTGTCTCTCAGCCTGCCGCGTCGTCAGCCGGCTTGGTTTGCTTCCGTCCCTTCTTGTCATTACTGTACCTTTTGGCTGTAACTTGTCGCTCTCGTCGTGGACGACTTTTGTCCACAACGCACGTCCTTCTCTACCTGATTTCGACGTGCGGGACATCTCGCACTGGCCATATTTGGTGCTGACAACACGACATGCTTCGATCCCCTTTCGTCGCCGCACGACAGGCGGTGAGAAGGCACAGCAGCAGTCGAAAGCTGCAATGGACAATGCGAAACCATTCGACGTTGCTTGCAGGCAAGACGCGTCAGCTCCAAGCGCATGTGTCAATCCGAAGAGCCGCCTATCTCAGGAACATGCACGCACGCGCAATATCGTACACCGCACTGCCCAAGTTCGTGCTTCGCGCATTCCGAGTACCCATTGCGGGCATTGGTGTGGGTGCAGGCGCTGTCGGCTACGCCAACTACAAAGTCGAGGGTAAGTTCGATTATCCATCCTTATGCGGAAGCTAATTACAATCTATTGGTACAGAGTTCCGTAAGAAGACGAACGAATGGATAACGTCAGCTCAAGAAACAGCCTCTGACTTCTTGGACGCCGCCTCCAGTCAAATCAACTCTGTTGTAGGACGCGTCGGCAGCATCGAGCTTCCCAAGCTTGAAATCCCTGAATTCCTTAAGGGATTGTTAGCTTCTACGGGTGGGAGCAAGAAAGGCGAAGGACGTTCAGGGAAGGGAGGTGAAGGATCGAAGACCGAGGGCGAGCCTGAGGGCGGTGACCAGAGCGCAGCGGTCGCTGCGTTAGTGGCTGCTACATTGTCATCTCCAGCCGATCCCAAATCAGAAGAGAAGCGAGCAGGATCCAGCCAATTGCAAGATCGCCAAGACGGCTTGATGCATCTTACGCGCAAGCTTATCGAGATCAGAAGCATATTGCTCAGCATCGATCAGAGCGACAGTCTCAAGCTGCCCAGTATTGTTGTGATCGGAAGTCAGAGCTCTGGGAAGAGTTCGGTATTGGAGGCTATTGTTGGCCATGAGTTTTTGCCCAAGTACGCACAACTTTTGTCATATACTTGCTGTGTTCTGACGCATACATGCAAGGGGAAACAACATGGTTACTAGGCGACCCATTGAGCTCACGTTGATACACAGCCCTGCTAAGGAAGGCAATGCCGGCGAATACGGAGAATTTCCGGCCCTTGGCTTGGGCAAGATCACCGACTGGAAAGAGATTCAGAAGACATTGGTCGAGCTCAATCAGGCTGTCCCGGCGGAGGAGTGTGTTTCCGACAAGCCAATCGACTTGCGGATATACAGCCCCCACGTTCCCGATTTGACGCTTATTGATCTGCCGGGTTATGTTCAGATCAGCTCCCTGGATCAACCAGAGGAGTTGAAGGAGAAGATATCCACATTATGCGACCGCTATATCAAGGAGCCCAACATCATCCTAGCAGTGTGTGCTGCGAATGTTGATCTCGCCAATTCGCCTGCACTGCGAGCCAGTCGTAAGGTTGACCCCCTCGGACTGCGTACCATTGGGGTTATCACCAAGATGGACCTTGTCGAGCCAGAGGCTGGAGCCAACATTCTGCAGGGTAATCGATATCCTCTTCACTTGGGTTACGTCGGTGTCGTTTGCAAGCCAACCGGCCTTGCTGGTGTGCGGGCTCATCTTGGTTCCGAGAGACCCAATATTACTGGTGCAGTTATGCGCCGGGAAGAAGACTATTTCGGGGCGCATCGCGAACACTTCGGCCGATCATCAAGCGTTATGGTCGGCACGGACACTTTGAGGAAGCGATTGATGGACGTATTGGAATCGAGCATGGCTAGTTCTCTTCATTCGATTTCCAACGCGGTCCAACTCGAGCTCGAGGAAACCCAATATCAGTTCAAGGTCCAATACAATGACCGCCGCGTTACCGCTGAGTCCTATGTGGCCGAGACTGTCGACCAGTTGAAAGCCAAATTCAAGGAGTTAACTCAGCAATTCACAAAACCACAGATCCGTTCCAAGCTAAAAGGAATGCTAGACGAGAAGCTCATGGATATCCTTGAGCAGCTCTACTGGTCGGACAAGCGCGTCGAAGAACTCACGACGCTTGGAAACGACCCCAAAATCAAGCCGGAAGACGTGGATTCTTATTGGAGGTACAAACTCGACGCTGCATCTTCGCTCCTTACTAAGTCCGGGGTCGGTCGCGACTCAACGCAAATGGTTGCTGACGGCCTCCGTGCGCTGATCGAGAACATCGCCTCTGGCGAACCGTTCAATTATCATCCTCAGACTGTGGATCGCATCGTCCAATTCTCCCACGCCATCCTTCGCGAGCGCCTTGGTGTAGCAGCGGACCAGGTCGAGAACTGCATCAAGCCGTACAAGTACGAAGTCGAGGTAGAGGATAGGGAATGGGTTACTGGACGAGACAAGGCGCAGGTCTTGTTCGAGGAGGAACTCAAGATGTGCCAGGATAAGCTTGTCGAGATCAGGAAGAAGGTTGGGGGGAGCCGTAGGCTGAGCAACCTATTAGAATATGTCCGCACGTTGGAGGAACAAGAACGACAACGAAGCTTGTCAAGGCTTACGCGTATCAAGGCGGGAGAAGAAGTGGAGGAAGAAGGTCCGGTGGCGATCGAGTCGTATCGTTTCAGCCCTGGTGTAATCATCGATGGAGGGCAAGCGTTAGCCTACACCAACAGGCTGGGCGTCCTTAAGCTCCGACTCGCTGCGCTCAAGTCGAAAAGGTGCAAGAGTGGACCAGAAAACGACGCCCTTTGCCCCGAGGTATTCCTCAATGTCGTCGCTGACAAGCTTGCGTACACTTCTGCCCTCTTCCTCAACATCGAGCTGCTCGACCATTTCTTCTATCAATTCCCACGGGAAATCGATTCCCGCTTAATGTATGATCTCGACCGGAAGGAGATCGCAAAGTTTGCGAGGGAGAACCCGAACATCCGTGCGCACTTGGATTTGCAAGAAAGGAAAGACAAGTTGGAAGAGGTGTGTTTAACTTTCCCCCCTCTGGTAGTTCTCGTTATTGACCAAATGTTCAGGTGATGAAGCAATTGCAGAGTTTGGTTAACCTGCGCAAAGACATCCAGCCGGCTCCCCGACGAGCGAGCAGCTTGTTCGGCTCTTTCTTCTGACAAGTTTCGCTTCGAGATCTTTTACGTTGTATAATGGAAAATACTGTGATGACCCTTCCCCATTCTCTACTATGACGATAACCCCACTTACTCCTATAATTGTACAAAATGATGTAACGTATACGGTTGGGGATGGTATGCACGTGAAGTGACGGGAATGGGAAACTAGAGCTTCGCCTTGAGCTCGCCCTGGGCGGTCTATGCCCTGTGTGAACAAACGCCGAGCAAGCCGCCGAGGGAATGCGTACCTTGAGCACCGCGTCCAGCTTAGTGGCGAGCATCATGTTCCCCTTGGTCTTGAGTTTCCCGGTCATGAACGCCTTTTGGCCATTTGTCTACCCCAGCGATCAACGACATCCATAAACGGGGAGGAGGCGAACATACCCTGCCCTCTGCGAGGTCGAGGAAGAGTTCGTCACCGGCGATGATAGTCACGTCAGGCTTGGGGGCAGGCTTGCCCTTGACGACTTTGCCCTCTTTTTTCATGTCGATCGTCCATGTTTTCACTTCCCCCGAGGCGCCCTTGATCTGCATCTCGAAGATTCCATTGGTCTGCGAGGGGTCAGTATCGTGCAACGGCGCGTACAGAACCGTCCGCAGCTCATAGCCCGTAGCAGCAGCAGAAGTGGGTAAGGTGAAGCAAAGAGATGGAACCGAACCTTCTTGAGCTCCTTAGCCTTCTCCTCCGGGGTGTAAGCCTCGAGCACCTCAGCAAGACGTGCGAACAGCTCGCTCGACTTGCGCACGTGGGTCAGCCTCCAACTGACATCAGGTTGGTCCCAGAGGGTGCACCTTAAACCCGGGCTCTTTGATATCTGACATATCTAGAGTTGGTGCTGCTGGGGGTGGCGGGGGATGTGAGTGCGGGGAGGGGGGCAGGAGAGTTGCAAGAAGTGAATCGTGTCATCCCTTGGAAGGTATAAGTAGTCCCATTAAGTAGGCCGGTCGTGATCAGGAGCCGGCACCGAAGATGTCACGTTCCCCTGACAAGCATGTGATTACCACATGACACCGCTTACTTCACCGAAGAGAGACATAGAAAAACTCTTCTGCACAGCCCCTTACCGGAGCCGAACGGAGTAGGGCCGCCCCGGAGACGGAAGCTGAGTGAACGGACCGTTTGATCCCGTGTAGAACGGCGCAAGCAAAGAACAACGACCAAACCGTCGAGCTCGTCGTCCTTCCATCTCTCCTCGCCGTCCTCCTCGGCCTCCCTTTACCCAAAACAGCTCCGCCCACAGCATAGAAGGGCCGAGCATTCCTATCCAACCCTTTTGTTCCCAAATCCCAATATGTCATTCCTCCGATCGCCAGCACTACGCACCACCCTGCGCAATCCCGCATTCCGCCGGTTCGCATCTACCGAGCCTGAGAAACAAGCAGCAGCAACGACCAAGTCTGCCGTAGAACAGGCGCAGGAGCGAGCAGGGGAGGCGCTTGTCGGTCTAGGGAAGCTCGGGGGTGCAGTAGGAGACAGGCTGGGCAGCTTACTTGGAAGTGCGAACTTCTTTCCCGCCCTGCAAAAATGAGACTAACGATCCACAGGCTACCGCGAACCACTATTCTACAACCTCGCCGTCCTGCGCGAAATTGCCAAGCAGGTGTACGTCGCTGAGAAGCTCGCGCCTCCTCTTAATGGCTCCGCATGGACCGAAGCATACAGCACGCTCTTCTCCCGTGTGAGCAACATGAACTACTGGCGTGAAGTGCTGCGTTCTGGTGCATGGGCCAAGCTGGGCGTGTATGCCCTTGAAGCATACGGGATATTCAAGATCGGTGAGATGGTCGGCAGGAGGAGCATCGTCGGGTATACACTGGAGGAGTAGGTTCAGTGTTGGAACAACTTGGTTGTTAGCAGCGAGGCAAAATGTTCATAATGCTGTTCTGCTACATGGGAGCAGTCGTACGGCCAGGACGAGTGCGGGGAAGAGGGCCGCAGCCGGTGGGAGATTAAACCACTGTGCAAAGAACTTGTACACAAAAACGTATCCGAACACATCCCTGCGCTCTCTACCTCATTCATAGAAAAAAGCACATAGCCTAACCTAATCCCCTCCTTTGCTCTACCCTGCTCATGCAAGAGCATTTTAGCCCCAGACCGTGCCGACGCTCACTCATCCTTCTTTGGCGCGGGCTTGCTCTCAGCTTCTTTGATGCTCGCCGCGTCCGTTGCAGGGTCGGACGCCGCGCCGAACAGGCCGCCAACCTTGAACGGCCTCTTAAGATCCCCAGTCGCGGCCTTGCCGAACAGGTGGATCTGAACAACCTTCGCGTCGTAGATTCCCTTGAGAGCGGTCAGGGTTTGCACGAACAGCGGCGGGTTGAACTTCATGTAGAGGTGCAGGACGGCCATCATCCCTACACCCATGTAGACACCGCGGACCTGTCACGGTGTCAGCAGTTGCAGGTTGTATGAGGAGATATACCCACAGCTTTAGACACTTCGGCGAGGTCGTAATCCCGGACAGTGGTGGTGACCAATCCCCCAGAATCTGGCGACTGCCCTCCAAGTCAACACCGCACACCCTTATAACAAAAACATATTCATACCATCGGGTTCTTAGCTTCCACTGTACTCGCATCAGCAAAAAAAAAACCAAAAGGAGCGAATGCAACTCACCGTACTTCAACACCGTTTGATCGTTCTTCTGCTTGATCTGTTCCCTTCTTAGCCTCCTCTCAATCCCGATAACAGCAGACTCACCTTCATCGACGTATAGTAGTACACCGCCAAACAGAGAAGCTGGGCCGCAACATACCCAATCCGAACGTACATCAGGATCTGGGGGTCCTTGTCCATAGGGATCTTGCGTGCGACTGCGGCGAGAAGGAAGGTTAGCATCTGCTAAGTGGGCTTGAAAGATATGATACGGACTTTGCATACCACCTAGTGAGATGGCGAGGTTGGCCATTTGGGCGTTCATCTTGGGCTGTTTGGACGATGAGGAGGATGGGGAGTGTTTGGTGAAGAAAGTCCTGAACAGTAGGGACCAGGGGTCAGACGTCGTGGGTGCGAGAGAACAGCCCAGCAAAAATTGGAGCCGCGGAGAGAGAGACGCGTACGTGACATCGGCAACTTTCTACTCAACTCGGAAGTTTGGAGTAACCGAAAACAATCCAATTGCTAGCTAGATAATGGTAATATCTGAATAGAGTCGGTATTACTTATTTTATTACAGATTCCCTCCGCGAGCCAAAGGCCATGAAACTCCGTAGGTTGGAGAACACCTGCCTTGGTTGTTCGCCCTTACTCGTACTGCTCCCGCTTAATGCCCCTGAACCTGGCTCCTCCGCTATCGCACCCGATCCGACTAGGATAGACGGAAGCGTGACCCTGCTACCGCTCATAGGCGGGCTCGTCAGCGTACGTCCGAGTGTGCTCGGTTGTGTCTGCTTGTTGTCCGGATCCATGTCAAGGGAGGAGAGGAAGGACGTGCTCTCTAGGTGCTCCATATGGCTCGTCACGGTGAGGAATGTGTCGAGCAGTGTATTCTGCTCCGCTCGGGGCGTGCCCTTGAGATCCAAAATCTGGTGCATACATGATCAAAGACTGATTCTCCGCGGAGACAAGGAAAACGCACTTTTTGGAAGTTAGAGAAAGACGAGTCCTGAATGAGCAACGTATAATTTTGCACGAAAGCATCGGCCGGTATGACGGGCGCGATAACCAACTTGAGCACGGTTTCGAGGTTCGTCGTCGTCTTGGTGATGTTTTTGATATAACTGCTGAGCGTCTCGCCCGGTTGGGTCCCGGGGAGCTCTAGGATGCAGGATCGGAGTGTTTGTAAGTCGATCATAATCTGAGTATGAATGAGGATGAAGGGTTGTGAAAAACAGATCATGCTTGCCTGCTCCGCTGAGACGTCCTTAATCGGCCGACTCTTGACCACCGCATGACTGAATCTCGTCATCAAGGTGCTTTCCATTCGTCAGCCGTCGCCCTTCATCACGCGGACAGAGTGCTCACTGTGCAGCCTTATCGTAGAAGTTTCTCAGCCACTTCTTATACTGCACTTGCTCCTTCAGGCCCTCACCAACCGTCTCCACAGTCTTCACCAAGTCCATCACAGCGTTACTCGGCCCGCTGACGCTGGTGACCTCGCCCCATCCCGCCCTGGAGAGCACGGCGAAGCTTGGGTCCGTCGCCGCTTCCAGTTCCTTAAGTTGGACGGAGATGGCGCTAGCGATGACGCCCACGAAGACGTCCTGCTCCGGCTGAAGAGTGACCTTTTCCCGATAATCAGGATGTATAAGTTCTTTGATACGCTCCTCTAGCTGCGCAGCGGTGGCGTGACAGTACTCCGCTGTGTTTAGCACAAGCGAGGCGTTCTTCAGCTCAGATATGTTGACTCTGCCGTCCGCGGATTTGCGGTCGAACGAACGGCCTTCTTTATCACTGCATGTCTATCAGACACATATTCCATCAAGTAGAAACAGGACATACGGCTTCAGCCCAGCAACAAGCACGTCCTCCGCATAGATCCTAAGCCACTTCTTCTGGAGCGAGCACAGGTCAAACAACGCTTGTTTGGTGGAGAGCTTCGCACACTGCTCTAGGATCTGACGGTAGAAGTAGAACAGATCGGTGGAGGAACCAAGTACGGTCTGGTTATTCCCATCGCTTGTCGCTTCATCCAGAGAGGCGCGAGACTTGGTACCCCGGTAGCCAGCGAGCATATCTGATAGTGCTCTGAAGGCAAGTTAGTGCCGCGGCTTTCTATTGAGTAAGCCCGAACGCACTTGTCTTGAGCATCCACAAACACGCCCATATGTGTGTCAAATACTCCTGACAGCATTGCGGGTGGCTTGGCAATGGAAGCGGCAACGCCCACGACCTCCAAGAACGGCGTGTCAAACTTCCGACTCATAGTTTGCTCAAACTCGAGCGTCTCCTTGAGCGCCTCGAGCAGAAGAGCGACGGTGAGTTTCTGCCCTGCCCGCGTAAGCGCAACCGCCAGGTCGTCCCTTGTTATATCGGTGAACTTGGCACAGAGGTACTGTTCGACCCTCCATTCTTTGGGGAAGACATCACCCCTCTCCTCGTCATGCGCATTCAGCACGCGCTTAAACCACGCAAACCGGCGGGAGATATTGTCCAGCTGGCCAGCTTCGTCGGTCGAGCGGAAGATACGGCGGTACTCTTTCAGCTGGAGAGCGCAATACCGGTCGATAAGGGAAAGACGGACATCAGTGCCCATCACGTCGACTACTTCGCATGCGGATCGGATGGTACTTGGCTTGATCGGCTTTTGTCGGTCTTGATTGTAGCTAGAGAACCGTTAGATAGGGTGACGACATTACGGAGAGTGGACGCACAAAGCCTCGAAATCCTCGTCCAACTCGGTCCTCAACTGCCCAGTCAACTCCTGCATCCTCTTCATTCCCAAGGCGATCTTGTCCACTGAGGCATACGGTCTAAACGAGGTGGCAATCTGCTTAACCGCCTATTCCGATATCAGCCACAGGTCGTAGAAGGGATGAGAGCGCATACACCCAGGGTAGGAGCGACCTCGCTGTACTTCCTCTCTTGAACAAGCCCATCCAGTCGTCCTAGATCGTTCACTATACCTTCATCAGCACCATTCCAATCCATGGTTAAGCTAACGTACCGAGGATCTGGAATCTCTTCAGTACCGTCAAGCTCAAGCTCAAGTTACGCTTAGCCAAGTCCAGTGCTTGCATGTCCTTTGTCAACTCGCGCACTATCGCTTCGCTCTCGGTAGCCTTTTCGCGTATGCGTGTCATCTGAGAAAGCAGCTCCTAGTATCGCAATACTTTAGAAATGAAGCAAAGGAGATGGAAGCCAGAACGCACAGCAATAAGTGCCTGGATAGTCTGCATTCTCGTTGCGTCCGACTCTTGTCGTAGCTGAGCTCGAAGCTCGATGATCTCCTGCTGCAGTGCTGCATGCTGAGCTTTGAGGTCCGCTTGTACCTGTTCAATCCTCTCCAGTGATGCCTCTGCACGATGCTGTCATTCCTGAGCTCAGGACGGCAGCTTTAAAGACGCACCATCAGGAAAGAGCTTGTTCAGGGAGTTAAGCAGACTAAAGTCGATCAATGGCTCTTCCTGCCCACTGGAACCACCGCCTTCATGAACAGTTCGGGCGTTGAGCACTCGTTCAACTTGGTCAAGCAGCTCGGGGGGGAGCGTTGCGTGCGGCATTCGGGAAGCGTGATATGTGAGCGCTATGTCGTGGTTTCACTGTAGGGACCGCGCCTCTGACGCTGGTCACGAGCTCGCCATCCCAGTCAGACAGGAGGCTCATTCCTCTCTCTCAGACGGTCATGATCTTCTATTCGATCATTCCAAGATGACACAAGAACCGACATCCGAACCTCTTGAGCTCGATCCTCCAAACTCAAACGGACATGGGAAATCGCCTGCCACAGGGAGCGATGAGGATGGCGCTCTGCTCTATCTAGGCGATCGACCGGTGTACAGCTGTGCGACGTGCTCAACACACTTGGTTCGTCTCATTTGCACAAATCAGGAATATACTGATTAGAAGTGGGTAGGCCCTTCAAGATGAGCTGATTAGCAAGGCGTTCTCGGGTAGGGAAGGCGTAGCTTTGTGAGTTCCCTTATACAGCAGCGTCGCCGTTGTGCTGATCCTAATTTGACAGCCTGTTTCACACTGCAATCAATGTCAAACAAGGGAAGAAAGAGGAGAGAATGCTCTTGTACGTCGTGTTTTACCCTCTCAGCACTTTTTGACCAAGTGTTCAGAACTGGCATGCACACCGTCAGTGCTTGTTCGCTCTCTGAATGCGAAGGTTTAACACCTGTATTGTATCCAGGTTGCGGACATAACATGCATGGGATGCGGTACGAGTGTAGGATGGACATACTTGAAGGCATATGAGACGTCTCAGAAATACAAGGAGGTCCGCCTGAGTTGTCGCAGGTTCTGCCATTGCTGATTCTATGCTTAGGGCAAATTCATTATCGAGAAAGAGAAGATCGTGAAAGACAATGCCTGGATTCTTGACTCCTAACCTGTAATCACATGAATGGATGTTGTATCAGTATTGTTTTTCTCTCTCGTATCTCATCACACTGTCCCCGAAAGACCGTTAAATAATCGCATCGTGAACTCGAGTAAGACGTTGTAAGGAGATTCAATCCCCGTTCAGCAGTGCTGAAGGAAGATTAATTTGTCGGTGCGGGAACTAAGACTCCGACCTCGATTTTGCGTAACATTCTAGTCTTTATTTGAGTTTCGGAGCCGAGGAGAGAAATTCCGGTCTCCATATTTCCTGTGATCATCAACTTCACCACATTTGGAGTTCACAAATAACTGTTCTCAAACTCGATGGCATCAATGTTGTATTACTGCCAATACTACGGGACCGTTGCAAGCCAAATTCACAATGGTTTACTTTGGAACTAGTCACAACTATATGTTTATGCTGTTTGAACACCCTTGGGCACATCGACACATTGGACTTCAAACTTCTTGTCACAGTCAATACACATGCCAACCTCTGATGTGACTCCTACTGTACCGTAGATACAATAGATAGTCTAATCGAGCTCTTGTGTGATCCTCCTACAGGTGAGCATGCTTCCAGGTAATGGATGTTGGTATACCAGTATAGCAGTATATACACAAGGATATGCTCAAAGAGGATGTGATATCAAGGAGTTGGGCTAGCTAGAGAGGGGATACAGAGTGGTCAAAGGGGAAGAGTCCAGCCCCCCATTACAGGGAGATATGGCTATCTAATATAGAGTCGAAAGGAATGTGGAGGTGGTAATCAGAACATACCATGGAAGATACCTGAAACCAATTGAGTAAGACACACCCTTGATATCAGTCCGGTGGTATCCGGATACTGCATGTGAGCCAGTAGAACAGATGTTCCGGCAACAAATATCTTGAGTATGCCTACAATGGACTAACTACAATACAACTGTGGGGAACTTCAGACAATGACTGTCCTCAGTCACCGTTGGGATTGTAGAATAGCTGTTTGTCAGATGTCAATCATATGCAATCTTGCGAAGGTACACAAAAATAACAATACTGGTATCTGGTGGTGGTAAAGATACCGGTCAGAATCATGTTGTCAATAATATGGTTGTTGCCATGTGAGCAGCACAATGGCTTGTTTGAAATGCGACCATGCAAGTGAAGCATTGACCTAAGCGCATTGCCAGGATGAGGTGGTTGTGTGGTTCAGATGTGGCCATCTCCTGCAGGGAACTTCTGAGAAAGGCCATCCAGGCCTTACCATTGGCAGTACCGGCCACCGGTACTGGCCTTGTTGACTTGGCCTTGGTAACCGTGGTCCAGGTGGTGGTGGCGGTGCGGAGCTAACTGTGCCCTTTAAAAACCATCACGGAGGCAAATTCGAATCACCTCTGAACTTGACTTTTCACCACCACCTTCCTTTCTTTGCCATGGCTGCTACTTCCGATGCTCTGGAGAAAACAATAGAGGAGAATTCGGCAATTCAAGGCCTGAAGATAACTGCATCTTGGGTACTGGTGGAGAGGGGGGAATATAAGAAGAAGATCACGGACGTGATGTCTGTCATCCCGAAGGACCGGAAGGAATGGGGGGCATGGGTCAAGCAGGTGGAGAAGGTCAGCAAAATGAGGGTATGTCGTTCTTTGCGTGCATATATTTGAGAACTAATGCAGTTTGCATAGGCCGATATGACGAAATTGTTGCTGGAGAAACCCTGAGCATTCTGTTTGGTCGATGAGGGCCATGTGCTTTTTTTCCTTGACCCACATACACAGATGTTATGGGAGTTATTGGTGCCGGTGATGGGTACAAAGGTACATCATGATTGGTATCTCGTGCGGTACTGCCACTGATGGTACAAATAGATCAGTACCAAGTGGAAGAGGCGTCATTTAGGTGCCCCCATTGGTGCCGCAAACGAGGATCTCCCATTGGAGGCGTGGACCGAAGAAGATGACAATGCCGGGCCAACGCTGCCAGCAATCACGGCCTTGGAAGAAGAAGATGCCGAGACCACTGGTGCTCTCCCTGGCGACTCACAAGAGACCAATCAGCTGGCCAGTGACTCTCAGAAGCAAGTCGCACTGGTTGCCAAGCCGCTTATCGCTGGAACGCTCCCTTGGGGTGGTATTCCAGCATCAGTACTTATGCCTGCGAGCACAGAAGTCGGGCCATCTGCAACAATTACTGAGATGGAAGAAGAGGTTGTGGCGCATGCAAAGGGGGTGGAAATGGATGCGGAGCAAGAAGAGGCGAAGGAGGCGGAGGCGGTAGAGAAGGCGGTGATGGCAGATGTCACTGAGAAGAAGGAGGTACGTCCCCCTGCGGTACTTTCCGTTATACTGGAGTTGACTCATTGTTGTAGGATAAGCCAAAACGTCCCAAGCCGTGCCGGGCTTATCAGAAGACCGCAACAGCATTGCCCCCGTCCAATGCCGATGAGGTGGAGTTCGTGGATGGTGTGCCTTCTGGGAAAGCAACGGATATGTTGGTGGCTTTTGTGCCTGCAAGTGCGGACCGCCCTGGTTCCCTAACGTTTTGCATCCTGAGAGTTAACAAGAGGTTGTATTATAGAAGGCACGTCCTTCCTGCAGTAGGGGGAACATGTTGGAGTCCGACACGGTAGAAGCTGTCATACCTCGGAGGGTCATGGAGGTAAGTTCTGTTGGTATTCAGATAATAGCAGTACTAATATTTTTCCCAGAAACCCATCACCCCCGTGAATACGATGTCGGGCAAGGGCTTGAAGAACAAGGGGAAGGTCTGGCTCAGTGCCTGGAATGCACCTGAGCCTACAACCCGATTGGTGAAGGGCCATAACCTTAAGGCAAAGCCGACCACCATTGCGGAAGGCTTCCAACTTCTGCAGATGTTGTATGGTACATGGTGGGAGGTTGCTCTGCTTGAGGACCAGGTAAGATGGTTCTCGTAGCACTGTTTATATCCTGCTGACTATTCTTGCAGTGCAATTTGTGCGCAAAGGAGGGCATGCATTGCTGGTCCCAGGGAGTGACTCATTGTTGCATGCTGTGTCATCAGCGATTGAAGGAATGCTCACTGGCTCCCAGCACTGGTATGTATTTGTTTTGCAGTTGGCAGTATACATACTGACACATCATTAGACAAATGCAAGGGCTGCGTTGTCAGGAAGATGAAAAGTTTGGCCGACGTCCTCGGTGAAGACAGGGAGTGGCCTGAGGTCACAAAGCCCGCCAAGTGGGAACAAGTGCATGTGTTGCTCGGTGAGTTTGTCATATGGTACTGCAGTACATCACATTATCTGACTTTTGTGCAGAACAAGCCTCTTCCTGGCTTTTTATGGCTGGCACTCCCATTAACAAGTGGGCGATGGAGATACACCTTAATCAAGCTGGCCTCACGTTTGTGCTCAACACTGGGCAAGATGAAATCTTGTATGTTCATCTGCCCCGCAAGGATAACCATGCACCCATGGGCATGTGGTATGAGATGAACCTGTCAGGGCACCAGCTCATTTCTTGGTCAAGAGACATGACTAAGCCTTTATGACATGGAAGTAGCTGGTATACCTTGGCA